GGGTCCCACTTGAAATAAAGTGACCTCTTTTAAATTCATAGCACCATCAGCTTTGTAAGTACTATATTAGGAGCGCTTATTGGGATCGCTTGATAAACTTTCCTGCTTCTAGCTTTGTTATTAGTGAACAGGGCTGAATTATATCGTTTTTGTGTTTTTATCGAGGTTGGAGTTGCAAAGTACCTAATTGGAACCTCAGGCCTCTACGGTTCATGGGATAGTAAATATCAGCGTTCCCCCCATGGTAATAAGAAACGAAAGCCCGAATGACGCCTCATGACCCACACATCGACTCGACTGTAACCACAACGGCACTTTACACATCTACGAATTATCAACACCAAATAGTTATAGATGACTATGTTGATTGGATACAAAGCCACATTCTATATGAAAGTTATTCTTTCCAGCTCCGATCCTTATGGTTGTGGCTACAGGTAGAATATCAACACACATCAGGTAAGAGGAATAGTGGGGGCTGGTGGATGCTAGTATACCCGCGAGAGAGAAATAATACTTGAAATTGAAGGTTGAAGTTCAAGTTATAGTACCTAAGGATACCACTACAATTCCATCATCCTGTTCTGTAGGAGGCACCCTACATGTGGCATATGTGTTACAGGCCTCAGATAAGATTAGAACGAATCCGCGGACGAACTGCCTCTATCCTATATAAACCTACTATAATGCATCGGTTGATTATTTTATAGTATGTCAGAGCAGAATAAAGGTGTACAGTCGCTCACGCAGTGATGGCGGATCCTCTCTGATGGTTGTGTTTACATTTACCCTTGGCTTCCCTAAACTGAGATCTGCTATTGGATTCAAATATTAAATCCCTAACCGCTATCAGATAGGATGCGCCTTCACCCCGTGAGTGAGTGCACTTAATTCCCTTAATTAATACCATACGGACGAATACACGGTATCCTATAAAAAGTACGTTTATATCCAATATTAACTACTGAAAATATATATATCTACGTATACATTTAACTACATTTCATTTAATGTTGTCGGCGAGTCGAGTCCGCTCGAGTTCACAGCTCCAGCAAGGCCCAGCAAAGCCGAGCAGGAGGGGCCACGTCGAGTCGAGCTTTCATGAGCAATTTATAAAATCGACTCGAGTTTCTCGAGCCTTTTAGCCATATAAGATCTTGATAGGTTAAAGGTATTATATCAAATTAGTGTAGTCGACGAGCCCGATCGAGTCGAGCTTGATGATTGGCTCGAGGAGCTCGTTGATTTACGAGGCCTGCTCTGCTCGACTTGTGAGATCACCTGTGCTCGTGAGGAAACTCGAGCCCCTCAAGAAATATGTTTAATACCCTACATAGTACCTAATCAGGCAAAGTACTGAAAATGATATTTGCGAAAAACAGATCTTCGGCTCCAATTTGACATAGTAGCCTTTGATCTATCAACATATGCTAAGATCCTATATGACTAAAAGGCTCGAGCAACTCGAGTCGATTTTTATCAAGTGCTCGTGGAAGCTCTGCTCGTGGCCCCTCCTGCTCGTTCTTGCCCGAGTACAAAGCTCGAGCCGTGAACTCGAGCGGACTCGACTTGTCGACCACACTATATCAAATTGGAACCAAAGATCTCTTTTTCGCAAAGAATATTTCCAGTACTTTGCCCACTTGGGTACTGTTGAGGGTATTAAACATATTTCTTGAGGGGCTCGAGTTTCGCCGCAAGTAGAGGTGATCTCACGAGTCGAGCAGAGCAGGCATAATAAATAGACGAACCCGTAAAACTCCACCCGGCCGGCTCGCCGACCATATGAATTTCATTATCCATTAGGCTAGCTGACAATATGGGAAGTTCTCTCGAAACGGTATATAGATCAAGAATCTTCTCGCGCGATAGAAGAGTTGATTTTATTTCCGAACCTGGGAGTTTGTACCAAGCATTATGGCCCGAGATGCCAAGAAGGGCGATGTTTTGAAAGGTGAAGTATGCTCGGAATGTCAAGATGTGATCACCCTAGTTTGGCATTGAGATCCCGGATATGGGCTATATTCCACTCATTGTATCAAGCAAGAACCCCAGATCGGCGAGATTCCTCTGGGGGAGGTAATATTATAAGGCTCGAGTGATTTCTTATGATTAGCTACATTACTATATATGTCTTGGCCTAGAGCGTCCCTAGCAAGATCAGCAACGTTAAGGCCCGACGGCGTACTTCATGAAGGAGTTTTGTCTTAGTTCCGGGAGCTCCCGGACCTTCTAATTACGTTCCTAGCACAGAGACAATATCCAGTATTCCTTCGTCTGGTGAAAAATGTTGCACCCCACAAAGAAGGAAATTCTGTGTGGCTTTACTAACAGATCCTATCATCTCTCTTATCAAATAATAGACCCCCATATAAATATAACTCCTGTATTATGGGTAGGCAGTATTGCCAGACTAAGGGGTACGCGTATGCGCAGTTGTATATACTTGTATACGCGTACATGTACTTGAAAGTAAGAACTTTGACTTTGGCTCTTTAGGATGAGCCTAAGATTCTATAAGGTGTGGGAGCTCTACCATGATTCTTGAATCATGCCTATGAACTCTCTGGGGTTGGGTCCGGAGTTGCTGATGTTAAATGTAATTCGCGAGGACAGGCGAAAGATTAAATGCCAAGACATCAGTTGAGACCGAATGAACACGTCTGTTAACGTCGTCACCACTTATCACGTCGAGCCTGAATTCTCCACCTCAAATCACACCTGTCCACACTCGTTTTCATCCACTGTTAATTAACTCAAGTTGTCGCCCCCGCCACGTTTCATGAAAGATAGTCTTTTTATTTACTTCAACGGCTGTGATCTAAGCTTGCTACTCCCTGCCACTGTCTTCACCACGTAAGCATTGGCATTCGAGATCTCAAAGCTTCTATTCAATGCCCTTTATGCGTTTCTCTGACATCCTTGTCCTGGATACCAGAGTGAAAACTGGGGAATTCGGAATCTGCACTTCCACTCGAGCATGATGAGCAGCTTGCAGGCTCTACCATCTACTCCGACGAACTAGCTGCTCGATCTCGATCTTGACCATGTACGGGATTTATCTTGATGCTTATTAAATCTCCGTAGCAGGGATCTTGGCTCCCAGTGCCCTAAACGTTTCCACCACTCATCCGGACACCCCCCTCACTAGGACAGTTGATGGTGATTGGTTGAGAAGAGATATAGAAGCCAGTAGTAGATCTTCTTGTTGTTATGGAAACTGCCCTGGTGAGGGGGGTGTCCGGGTGAGTGGTGGAAACGTCTATTAGAAGAAAATATTGGAGGGTCACAAATCTGCGCTTCACCTCGAGCCTGAAGTTGAAGCCAATCGGATGATATCAACCACGCGTTAGTTGGTCTGTACGTAAGCTTTTTTTTTCTTTGTTTTTCCTTTTCTCCGATCACGCCCGCGCCCCAAACAAGCATCTGCTAAAAGATGAATGCAGCGACAGGATCTCCCATGGAGTTTCCCTTCATAGCTACATATTGCTAAACTAGGACCAACTTTGATCGTTGTGGCCAAAGAAGAAACCAGGCTCGAGCAAAAACCCATACCCGACGCCAGAGGTACCCTTCCAATTCCTCCGTCCATCCAAAGACCTATTATAGAAAGGTTCTATCACATATTGGGTAGGGGTCACAGCCGCCGGAGATGTGTATCAGGCACAGTGAGCATGAGGCGTCTTCGAAAGCTTAACCCGATGTCCCCTGTACGAGGGAAATGTAACCCTGAGGCTCTGCACCCCAACACCGTTGGTTTATGAACCAGGCTTGCACTTCCAGCCTTCTTTTTCTTTTCTGGAAAGTCAGATACATTATACGTTAGGGCCTACATAGCTACTAATGTTCTATTGAATGCTGCTCACGATCTGAATGCAGCGTTCAGTTATATTCCTTGGGTTGTAAGTTAGTACTAGGTAAGACAGCGAAAGGATACATTATCATCGTAACGACCTCTCTTCTCACTTCTACTCACACATTACTTTAAAGTTCGGGAGTCATTGTAACCAAATCCCCACATTGGATTCCGACCTTTTAGTTGAATCGTTTGAAATACAATCGATAAGAGGATACCAAAGCAACCGAGTATGTATACTATCGGCTTTACTTCAGAATCGAACACAAATAAAGGGCCCCTAGGCTCTTCAGTATTATATGGGGACGCCGGTGACTATGAGTCCGGCGTCCCTTGAGTGATGAAATGTGGCTGGTCAGGACCGGCGGCTGAATACCACTTATCCATTAGATAATATTGTCTTGGCAAATTCGCTACCCTAGTGACTAAATACTTGTCAAGCGCTCTGTGGCTCCCTTCGATTCATACAAATCAAAGTGGTTTCCTCGAGAGCCGTTACTGATAGAAGGGGAGTCTTTGGTTAAGTATTCTATCGCTTTAGCTAACTGGATCGTTTGCATCTGTACGAGAAAGCTAGTAGTTACAGCACATCTGAGTGGCCTTCCACCAACAAAAAAGATTGCGAACGTTACGAGCCTGAACGGGCCCGGGCTCGCGCCTTGGTTCCTGGGTAACCGCTTAAAAAGAAATATGTACGTGTCCATGATATGAGCGAGGCCGGACATTATATATATGTATATTACATGTCCCCCTTCCACTCCCCGCAAAGTAGGGAAAGTATACACAAGATCTGAGATTGTCACACCCTCTAAAGCCCATATCTCCCACGATTATGTTTATTTAAAGCTCTCCCAAAAATTCCGATACACAAAGGTCCTATAAACTCTATTCCGACCGCCGACACTCGAAGAGCATCTAAGGCCGACCAGCACGGACAGGATCCGTAAGGCCCTATACACGTTTCGACAACTCAGCATCATCAAAGATATACAATCGAGGGCTGGATACGGAATCTGAGAATTTCAGAAATCAAGTGCGTCCTCCGGCGCGAAAGAGCCGTACATACACTGGTCAAAGTACTTCTGTACTTACGCATGGGTCCGTTGATTCTAAGTCGGAGCGATATGATCGGTGTTATACAAATATGCATCGGTGTTTTCGGACTTTTTGCCAGTATTCTTGGAACTATTCAATACTGGAAGCACTGCGGAAGAAAAACCGTATGTATTCCTCAGAACCCTTAGCCGGGATAATTACCCTGTGCATTTAGCTGATGAGTTTTGTAATAAGGGATTAGATGAAGAAAATACGGTTAGACCAGAAACCATACAAATCCCAGATGAGATATCTTCACAATCGAATCTGAACGATTACCAGCCCATGGTCAAATATTATAAAATCTCAGAGACACGGGAAATTCAGGGTTCGCCTCCCCCATATACCCTTTCAATACAAAAACCAGCCGCAGCGAAACTGAAGCCCAACCTGTGGTCCCTTCATGTGTTACCAATCCACAATACATTAGTTCTCATCATCGATCTCGACGAAAGACGTAAGCAAAGTAAAAACAAGGGATTTCAGGCTATCGGAACTTGAGGGGTTATTCGTTCGCAGTTGAGTTGTCTGGATTGAGGCTTTATCTTCTGTCGGTTGACCTGTCGGGAGTTCTATTTCTTTTTCTTTTTTCTTCTTTGGCCGTGCCCGAGTTCCAGGGCAATAATTTCTTATGTAAACCTGTACGGCCGCATTCGAAAAGTACTGGCACCCTACTATATTGAGTCGTTCATGAATTGTAGCCACCAACAACCATGGCACTCGCGCATACTCAACTTATTGATAGGTATGATCGCAATAGAGAGATTGCAGCTCTTTCTGGCAACTGTCTCGAATATGACAATTGAAAAGTAGAAAGGACTGCCTCGTGAGTTTGGCTCGGAGGTGCCAATACTTTTCAAATGCGGCTGTACATGTACACTCACCAAATCAAGGGATTTCTTTTGTTACAAAGATTTCATATTTTTAGATCCCACTGAGATCTATTCTCTTATTCTTTCATTTTCGTACTGCTTTCACATACGCCTTCCTAGTGATAATTTCTTATATTTACTCATGTTTTCATTAATTCGTGGTATATACATGTATTGTTACAAGAACTTGACTGTAGAGACGTGTGAGGACACAATATTGGATATGTTAACATATCCTTCATGATCACTTATACGTAGTAATGATTAATGTCACATTTTGAACATAGGACCTGTGTACTTATAGGTTGCGCGTGTTTGTGATCCATTCTAATGAAGCTACACATCAGAACTCCAGTTTGGTACGTACCTGCAGCTGGTCGTCAGGCAGTGCAAAAATGCGCATCTCATTACTGGACGAATGATAGTACATGATGCAGAATCAATCACTGATCAGCGTCTACTTTTTCGGCCGACAAAATATATATGGTTACACAAGTAGCGCAACATGCAAGGCTCAGTAACAAATAGGGGAGGTAAATACGAGCCTGGTCCATAAATAGAGTCCTTCTCGTTAAATACTTACAGCTGCTCGCTGTCGCTCGACGAATATGATAACAGGATCGGGGTTATAATTACGGTGATGGCAAGAAACGGCCAAGCTAGCGCAAGGTCTTCAGGCTCATTTTGATTCCTATTGGCTCATGAACTTCCCCTGGTCGCCAACTGTCAGTGTCCTTCAAGTGAAGGTAAACTACTGCAGCTGCCAAAACACGTCATTTACCGTTCTGCAATGCTCTTCGATATATGATACTCCACTGCCCCTCGGGATGTCATGACACCAGATCTACACGTACCCATAACCATGGATAGGTCAAGACTGGACGTTATGTTAACCTTTCGCTGACAAATTATGTGCGATTACATAATGGGTACCGACAGGTCACTAATGCTGCAGGCTCGATATCCCGTCGGGAAGGACGTTGCACGTCGGGGGCCAGTAAATGGATCTTGCATAAGGGAAGTACGCATGCAGCTCATCTGGTGCGACAGGGAATCACCCATCCTTGAGCAGGCGGGTCTCCGATTGGCTCCGAAAGCCACAGAGTCGATGTCGCTCCCACCTCGAGAAGAGACGTGGGGACTAATTAGTTGATGAAAGACCTTTAAGGGAGCCGGGGGAAAATGGCTTTCTACTTTTCCATTAAAAAAGGCTCGAAATTTTTAGGCAGTGGCTTCTGGGATGGTTTTAAATAGACTTAATGTTAGGAAATTAAATCACTTTGCTCGGCAATCTCTGACAACGGTTTTGACAAGGGTTTTGACAAGGGTCCTCTTTGACAAGGGTTTTGATAAGCTTTGACAACGGTTTTGACAACGAATATAATAACGTTAGTACCTACAATGACACTTACCAATAGCTAAGTCTGGAAGGACTTTGACGCCGGCATTTTTACAGCAGACCTTCGGGGAAAAGGCCACGGGGAATCCTCAAAAACATTCAGTATCTACAAGTATCGTATATCTATTACCATATTGAAGCAAAGAAACACACATTTTAAAATCATTTTTCTCTCGGTATACACATATCTGGCCGTAGTGTGAAATATCCACTTCATACTACTGTACCAACAAATTTGCGGCCGAAGTATAACTACACTCTACCATGGTACGAAATGCATCAGTAAATGCATCATAAATGCATCAGTGAAAGTCGTCAGTCAATTTATCAAGCCTTGTTCCTAAAACGTGTGGATAATGCATCAACTAATGCATCAACTAATGCATCCTTAATGCATCACAGTCTCGTTTTGCCAAGAGTTCGGGAAATACTTATATCAGGAAAATAGAAATGCAAACAGTGCCGGGTTTCTGAATCATGCCAGTGGGTTGAAATGCATCAGTAAAGGAATCAGTAAAGACATCAGTAAAGGCATCAGTAAAGGCATCGGTAAAGAGATTAGTAAATGCATCATACCGAAGAACACTCCTGCCCCGATGCAAAACAAACGAATGTGGGGGGATTGAACCTGAATCCTTCCGATTATCTAGCTTAGACTTGGAGCTTACCACCTGTACCATTATATCTTTTCAATACTAGTATATAGCACTTACTAGTACAGCGGTGGGTATTAAGTCATCGGACGGCCTAGCCACAACTTGAATTTTGCCTGCAAACGCGTATTTTGGTGGCGTTCTGTCTGATCACTTATTACCCACCGCTGTACACGCAATACGTATAAGCTGACCCAATACTAGGTATATGCCAGTGTAGCCGAACTGGAGATCCAAAAATATCTAAGTCAATAATCAGTAGAGACAAGAAATACCAAAAACAGTCACGGTAGTATTCGCGGTCTGATGATTTTCCCTACTACACCTTTACCTACTGTCGATGATTTTACCTAGTACACCTTTCCCTACTAAGTACATACTATCGAAGATTTTACCAGCATCTTTCCCTACTTTGAAGTACTGTCGACGATTTTACCTACACCTTTCCCTACTAAGTAAATACTGTCGACGATCTTACCTATACCTTTCCCTACTGTCGACGATTTTACCTACACCTTTCCCTACGACTTTCCTGAGGAACATTGTCAATCAGTAGGGAAAGGTATAGGTAAGATCGTCGACAGTATTTACTTAGTAGGGAAAGGTGTAGGTAAAATCGTCGACAGTACTTCAAAGTAGGGAAAGATGCTGGTAAAATCGTCGACAGTAGGTAAAGGTGTAGGTACTAAGATCGTCGATAGTATGTACTTAGTAGGGAAATGTGTAGGTAAAATCGTCGACAGTAGGTAAAGGTGTAGGTACTAAGATCGTCGATAGTATGTACTTAGTAGGGAAATGTGTAGGTAAAATCGTCGACAGTAGGAAAAAGTGTAGGTAAAATCCTCGACAGTAGGTAAAGGTGTAGGTAAAATCGTCAGCAAATGTGTAGCCTGATGCATTTAATGAGGCCTCGACAAGCTTATGCATCAACTGGTGCATTTGCAAGCCGCTTTCGTATGGGAAATGCATCAATTGATGCATTTCCTGCCATGGTAGGTACACGCATATCAGTTAATTATCGTTTTATCCCACAATTCATGGTCTCAACTGCCATATTCTCAGTATCAGGGAACTTGGAAATAAACCAAATAATCAATTTTGATATCTCTAAATAACCGAGTGATAATCCATGATTACAATCATCACTAGTATCTCAATAACAAACCTTACAATTGGAATTGAAGTCTAACTGGGCTGGCGGCGCGTTCCCACTAGGATAGAACACGAATTATATTAATATGAGGAGGAAGAATTATTTCTAGATGGTTATTCTTTGAGATTAGTCTGTTTCGCACTGGTAGAGTATGTATATATCAGGATTTGACTAGCCAAAATCAAGAAGTGCGAAGTAATCAACCAGCGAGAAAATTAAGATAGCTATGCTTTTTTCGTACTCCTCCTCTATGGTCATGGCAAAGTTTCTTTGAGCGAAGTGAAAGAAATATGTCTCGACTTAAATTTCGAGGGGTAGGCGGATAAACCGCTTTAAGCGTAATATGTCAATTTAACTTTGCGTTACACACAGAGGCCCACAGAAAGACAAAACATTTGGTGTTTATTCCGCCTCCGCCTGGTCTGAACCTTCAGGCATAAGTATACTATATTATTAGAGGGAGGCAGAAAGAAACCTCGCCTCATAATCACACTTCTTTACTCTCATATAGTAGTGGACTGGTCTCATTCTATGCGCTGATATATTACCACTTGATTCCCATAGTCCTGATCATGTTAAACTCAATGTTAAATAACAGGACAATGCCCTTGCGAAGGGTAATTTTGAAAGCGGATATTAACCGTGCCATCCAGGTATACTTTTCACAAATAGCGATAATAGCTCTTGATTAGGTCCTTATAATTTATCCCTCGCGCAGGGGAAATTGGGGCCCATATAGACTTATGCTTTTCTTGAGCCTGATACTACAAGGTCCCGCTTGGCTATGTTTAGGTGTGGTGTCTCAAGCTTTAAAGATGACCTGTCAGCTCCCAAGCGGCATATAAAGCTGTTCTTGGGCCAATGGGAAGACTAACTTCACTTCCAGCCACCATCCATGGCTGGAAACCGCCTTTTCGCCACAAGTCAGCGTGTAGGAACAAAAACGGGTACCCGCCCCATGCAATCCTGTCCGGGATGCTCTTACACATAAAAAAAGACCATTTTAATCTCCAATAACTTCAGAAAATATATCAAACTTCAGTGAGATCCCGAGATTCGTAAGCATCACATCTACTCTCATTTCTCTTTGATATAGTTGAGGCCGGGCGGACCCTAACTCAGTTAATATATTTGGTGGATCGCAGTATGTGAGGGTATTATCATGTATCTCTATCTGTAATCTAGTGTGTTCTACGAGGACGATGGAGGCGAGGTTTTGGGGTGTCCTCGTTTACCTCTGTCCTGGTCCTCAAGGTCTGTCACTGATGTCCTGAAGAATAATAAAGCAATGAATGACCCGGTAAACAAAAAAAAAAGTGATATTTCTCAAGATTAATGGTACGCTCTGTCCGTGACCCCATCCAATTAGAACATATATATTAGATGTGTATTATATTATATATAGCCAAGAATTGTCCTTGGAAGTCCTCGAGGCGAGGACAGATATTGTTCTCGAGACCCCTTGTCCTTTTGGATCACCGTCCTTGCGCGTTATCGAGGACATGTCCTCGAGGCAAGGAGGTAAGGACGCTCGCCCTGATAGAACACACTGCTGTCATTTCTGCCTAAGGATTTAGGCTCAACTAGCCGCCGGATTGTTTGTGTGTGTGTATGATATGACGCAACACTAAATCGCATCACATCATCCAATTTGTGTTTGATTCTCTGCCGTCACTGAGCTGGTTTGTGTTTGCGTCTTGCGATCCGGTTCTTCCAACAGGTTACAGTAGGCTCTGCTCTGTGGTGGTGGTTAATGGCGTTGGCGTTGGCCCGATTGGCCAAGGATTTGGGTAACCCGTAGCCATAGTACATCTCTGTCAGGCAGACCGTAGTGAAATTAACGCCTTTTATGTATTCTGCTACTACAAAGCCATTTTACCTAGTAACCGGCGGTAACCCCGGATATTCAGTGATCATCGGTGATGGTGATATATTATGAGGTAGGGCTGTACCTACGCGTACGTCGTATCATCACAACCTGAGTTTCTATCTCATCGTGATTGATTCCTCCCGCGATCCAGGCAGGCGAGTGATGTATGGGGTTCACCTCAACCGTATATCACGCCAGGAACCGAAATTCGATAGACGGTTGTGGAAGGAGTTTGGTTACAAGATTGCGTAAGTAGCCAATCAAAGGTTAGCATATAGATATATGTGTTCTAGGCTATCCCGCGTCCACGTGTGGAGTCAAATCTATGTTACACAGTGGTGAGTTCCATTGGTGCGTCAGCCTTACATATAGTGCTCAATCCATAAATACATGTAACCAGTGGGGCAAGCGTTGGTTGGCTGATGTGTTGTGAGAGAGGCTGGTTCAAAAGGGGGTTCAGTTGTTCCGCCTCCCGTGATCCAGCAATCTATCAAAGTGCGTGTCTAACATTTGAAATTTGCCTCATATAAGGGGAAAAAAGATGCAGCCTTAATGTTGGGCGGCCCATGCTGTGTGGTTTGTCGCTTCTAAGTCGTTATGCAGAGCAGAGTTTTTATCAGGATCCCTCTCATAATTTAAAATCAAATATACACAATTGCAGATAAGGAGTACTCATATATGTTTGTGGTTGAAAGCCCATATAATGAATTACAAGTCTAATGTATGTGGCGGTGGGTGTCCCGTTCGTTCATCTATATATATATATCCGTACTATTTTCTCGTCCTGTGAAGATCAAGTATAGTAATTATATAAGCAGAGAATCTTAACCTCACAAACACCACATGAGAGCTCGCGATCATTGTAATTGAATAAGGACTCGATACATGATATAGGCATTGGATCCCCCGTAATACTGGAGGTAACTTTCTATGTAGCTCCGTAGTGTTGCCTGGCGCGCCAGGTCAGTAGGCAGAAAGAGGCGTATGGTTACATTACTAAGTGGGGGCCGTGCGACAAGGCTCATTGCATTTCACGACCTCAAATTCGTATACCAATAACTATGGATTGCATACTGAATGCCTATAGATATGTAACCCCCGGCTCCTCGCGAAAGAAAAACGGCACAAGTTATTATGGGACAGTTGGTTCTGCGATTCTATTTGTACCGTAGTTGCATACAGCTTGTTGGAGTATCATCGATCTACATGTAGCTAGGTACACAAAGTACACGGGACATCTTTTGGCGGTAGGTTTTGTCCAGCTGTGGGCGAGTAGATTTAGAGCCTGGGGACGTAGAGATTGCAGTCTTCAGGGTGCGTTCGGATATCCTGTTGTCTGGAAACCACATACGTTTTGAAAAGAAAAAGAAAATAGGAAACGATGTGAGGTGGCCTAGTGACGAAACGTGGAATCGGAAAGTGGTTGCCAGAGTGGGCATGCACAAGGTCATATCCGGCCTTTTTGAGCGTTCAGTAAACCTACCCCTCATGCCTCATACACCGTTCTGGTTACATACATGTACTTCACGCCGTTTTTTACATGCGTTTCCACCAATAGAAAATGCAGATAGTAGTCCGTTTGCTGTTATGCAACGGCTCAGCTGGATGATTGCAAAACGAGCAACCCGAAAAGTACTTTTCCAAATCCTCAGCTTCAAAGAATTTACCACCAAAAGAATAGTACGTACTCTACTCCAAATTCAAGTAAGTACTAGCGCAGCGCTAACTACCTACGTAAGAGGCAGAATGCATCAGATGAACTCGTCCTAAAATCCCAATCACTAGGGCTCGAGGTGCGTCGACAAGGCGGCCAATACATTTCCGGGAAGCATCGCAGACACAATAGCTCCCCTACGCTTACTTCTTGGTGTTTCGGAGATAGCTTATATCTGTACCTAATTGGCTCTTGGGCGGAACTACCAGTGCATCGTAGAAACGACATGTCCTGTCGTTCACTAGGCTCAGGTATTGACAAACACGGACGGGGCCTTAGTTGTTGGTTACATAACCAAAACTGTGGTGAGCGGGGCTCTCCCGATATCAAGATTGATCGATCAGATAGATACATACACAGCACCAACCATCATGTACCGGGCACTATCATAGAAGTACGGCATTTTATAGGTTCAAAGTGTGCATGTGGATCGAAAGAAAAGAACGGTTAGCCGCGCGTGCGTATATACAGTACATGGTTTCAATAAAATTAGATTTAAGTAATGAAGGTAAAAATCAAAAAAAACAGTATAGTTAAAAGTAAATTAAGAAATTAAGGTAGAATACAATCTGATACCAAAAGAAAATGGAATATCTAATGAGTGCGGCCCGCCACGATCGGTATACGTAAGTTTATACCGATAAATCCCGAGAGGTTCTAGCAAAACGTTTCAACCTTCTGATGTGTTCAATGTTATACAAGTTCCTCAAGCCTGTAGAATGTGGATAGTAGAAAATGGCCCAGGAGGGCGCGATCTCGATCGATCTCGTAATCAAGGTTTGTCGTTTTATTTGAAAGTGTGACCAAGAAGCCGAACAGACGCGGCCAACGACTCGGTATTGTTTATGGTTAATAATGCTTTTTGGTGTAGAGACATTCCGAGCTGTCGTAGTGTCCGTCGGAACGAGGTGAGCGAGGTGAGCGAGGTGAGCGAGTGTGGACTAGACGAAGAAAGAAAAAACAGTGTGAATGATCGAGCGTAGACGAAGACAAAAAGACGATTTAAAGGAATATAGGCGAAGATGCAAATAGATGTCGACTAAGATGGCCGCATCCGAAACGAGTGTAGGCGCAGACACAAACGTTATAGTAGTTTTGTTGTAAAATGTATATGGGCAAAGCAAAGACGTGCTTGGTGTTATTAACGAAATCAAAGGTAGATCCGCTTGAGAGTTTAAGCGTTATTTAGCTTTGCTGCTGATGGTTTTTGGGGGAGATTAGGGTATGGTGGAGGAGATTCCAGCACTCTTGACAGCTCTGTGAAGCTGTAGCGCTGGTTGACTGCGCATGCCTTACTGCTATTCAGGCGCCGTAGTGGGGTAGCTCCGAGCTCGATCTCGTTTTCTGCGGCTTCCGATACGAGGTTTTCTTCATCTCTGTGTGCCAGCTTCCCACAAACAAATCAGTCAGTATATACTATTAAGCAGACACATAGACTAGTCGCTTCTCTCAAGGGTTTCAAAATCACGGTGTGAAGGGACAGAAAACTAGCTTTATACCTTTTTTCCAGTATAGTATCTCCACACTTCGACAACTATAATTACGAATACACTGACCAGTGTATTTGCAACTCCGATAACAATAGCGATTACATCGCTCCTGGTGAGATTTGAGGAATTCATTTTGCAAGCCACAAATTTACCCTTAAAATAGCCGAGCTGCGTATAACGAGTGTACTTGGTCTGAAAGCTGACAATGCTGTGTGTGTATAATTCTTCGGTATATATGAATCCGATCCCATATGCGTCAAAGGTCGCTCAAAATGTAATAATAATCCATGTGATGTCCAGTTTATAATTCTTTACTTTCACTCCCGTAGGGATTTGTGGCGCTATTTGAATAACTCTGCCTAAGGCTTCAATAAGAAAGTTGACCCGTTACTACATGTACCTAGGCGATCTAGACAAAACGGACTTCATAGCATGTATGTACGTCTAGTCCTCCCAGAACTCGCTCAATTACAATGCCTTTCTTAGGTTCCATTGTCCAAAGCTACATTTTTATCACCCCGCCCTTTAATTGGCCTCAGTTTATCTATTATTGCACATTTCTGTGTTCTTTTCACGGCCAAGGGCCCGCGGGGCGTACTGTATCGTTGTACATCGAACTAGCTGCCACCCAACCAGCGTGCATGAACCGCTGCAATTTACCACTAAATACATGTACGTATGTAGTTAGCTACGTAGATCATTCGGTACACATCCGTACGTTTTTCATGCTCGGCCGGGCCTTTCTTACCTGCTCCGAATAAAACTCTAACACGCAAGCACATCCGTTTGCAAAAACTCCAACCCGCATCCCATGTCTGCAGGCCGAGCTCGAGGCGAGTACTATACTAGTTCCATCTTCGATTTTCGATCGACGTCCACTCAGTCGACCAAACCTGCTTGTAGTTGCCCATTTGCTAGCTTGTGTTGTGGATATATTCACCACTAAAATTAAATTTCGAGCTAGATAGTGACGCGAAGATATTCAGGGCTCCTAGAAGCTTCAGGGATGTATCACGGGGTTCTAGTCGTTAGAGTTACGTTGTCTTAATGCATTAATATAATGGCGATTTTCTGTCAGGACGATATATATGAAACGTACATAGAATAGCCTTGCCAATCAAACAAAACACATGTGATTTTAGAAAATGCGAATCCACTTCCAAGTTCCCGCGATTTGGGTGTAGCCGCCTCGAGTTTCTTTTATAAGCCTTACCTTATAGACCTTATCAAACTGTTACAAGTAGACAAACCATGGTTTTATGAGGACTCCCCCGGGAGATTAGACATTTTAAAGTGTTTTCGGGCTTGTATCATGCTTAAATCATATCAACAAATTATTATAGTGAATAAACTCCTTATACTCTGGGCTAAGGATTTGGTAAGGTTTATGTGAGGTATATAAAAAAACCCTTCGGGCGGTAAAGTACGTACGTACCTACACGTATATACCCTGTTAGACATACCTAAACCTATACAAAACGAGTGAGGTGATACATGCTAAACCATCTATGAGAGATCAGGTGTGCTTGTATCAATGCATTTTATTGGTAGGGCCTGCCGTTTTCTTGTGCGTTGGCGTCTCCAAAACTTCCTTCGAATATTCCTTGACTCCCTGCGTGCCATATCTTCATTCTGGGCCAACCGTCAGGACACCCTATCCAGGGATCCAGTTACCAATTGAGCCCTCCAAATGGAAAGAATACATGCAGTTGTCAAGAGCACAGCTATTATACTATGCATGTAGAGACTGCAGCTTTTTATGATATTTACAGATATATGTATACAGTACGAAAAAAGGGGCGAAATAATCACTACCATATTATAGGACTACATGCATTTCATTTAGTGAAAAATGCCGAATTAAACCGATATTGTAAGAAGAATACCGTTCTACTACTAAGCTCCTAGTGAATACGCGCACCACCCCGAGTACTATACATAAAGTACATGTATAAAGGGACCTCAGTTTCTTGTGCACGTGTACTTATGCATTACACGTATGTATGAAAACAGCCTTGAAGATTTTTTCAAATAGTCTTCAAGTCAAAAGGGCAACAATCTATGACTCGGAAGGCTTCGAGGCATCGGAAGCCTTGGCTTTCAAATGCCGAAAGAAATTCAACCTCTTCATATTCAATTCAGACACGTATGCCCTTACGCCCAACAACCAGTAGATTTATATTTTGTTCCTTAATTGATATTTATAACTTTGTAATCCCAGTTGGGCGAACTCTGAACGCTTTTCGAGGGATATTGTGTTACAATTGCCGTGGTGATGTGGGCATGGGATTTCTCTATATGATGAAATCAATTTTGGAGTAAATATGATATGAGACGATAAACCGTTACAATCTCATGAGATATTGCAATTTCACCTATTCTTGCATACCTAGCTGTTCTGTAGAAGGAAATAACCGTATATACCTCCTTATCCTGGTACCCCGTGAGCGCTTCAAAGCATACATATACCACCATCTTGATCGTTTGAGCCTTGCAAATCCCCCCTGCAGAGATCAATGCAACGTGTTCCAGGCCGTGGCATGAATTGATAAGTACTCAAAACTTTTTCCAAGTGCGTATTCCTATTTTGAATTGTGGTTTATCTGCATAATGTGCATACATACTCTGGTGTGTGCTACCACAAAATTCGAGAAAATTCGAGAAAAGGTTGTCTATTGTTGGCTTAAACCCCTGCTGCATGCAACGAAATCTTTGATAATACAGTAATCCAGCACTCACTTTCTTGACACCCAACAGTCAGGCCTGGATCTGATGGTGTGAAGCTCGGGATAACTCCATTCTAAGACGCACTTGTTAGACAACAGTCCTCCATGGGTTCGGACGAATACTCCGCATGTAGATACTTTATTTCGGCTGGAAAACACCTCCGAATTGTAATATTCAAATGAAGGATGGGATGAAGACAGCTGGGATAGAATATCTGTTTGCGTGACCGACAAAGTTTCACTACATGTAGGTAGCCGGTAAGCCAATCACAGCTGTCTTTTGCCAGCCTCCTCTGATTGGTCAATAATAGAAGTATGGCCTTCGTTTGTGGTTGTTCAGTGGTGGCTTGGCATGTACAGCCACAGAAAGTCGAGGCGGGGCCACAACCGAGGCGGAGCAACTCATATCGACCACTGCATACACTTCCCAAATAAGTGTATCCCTTAAACCGTCAGGCCAGATCAAAATCGGCACTCAAACCCTTTATGGTAACCGTGATATAAGAAGCGCTGGGCACGAACTTCTATCACGGCCCATCATGAATGCGGCGGCGTGCCGAAGACTACGATTCCCACACCTTATGAGTTGATTTCATCACGATTACCGTAAAGGGTTTAAGTGCCGCTGTTTTCAATTCGGCCTGACGGTTTAAGGGATAAGAAAGTTGAGAACCTGCAAGCATCGCCAACAAGAGGATAGCGCCCCCATCCCTCAGCCAAAGATGCTTATACTTTTAGTGTGGACAAGCTGAGCTCATCTCCAACCTCCGTAATTCCACTAAACCTTTATAAATTCTTTGGCTTGGTATGGTGGTCAGAGAAGTGTTAGGCAACAACATCAATACAAGTCTGGCCGGTACAGCTTATGGACAACTCACGTAAGAAAAGATAGAGAGACATTCCATAGTCTCATCTTGTAAAGTTCCACCTCCCTCTCTCTGAGACTAGATTAATGCAGTAACTAATTCGTGTTAGTGAAGACGTTATGGAGTTATAATCCTTAAATTACTTAGTCAATAGCGAACCTAAAATAATGGCAAATGTGAACGTACTGATAATAAAATTAAATTTGCAAAACCGCACTGGACCATCCTTCCTAATCTTCCGTTAGGTCATTTGTATTAAGAAAGGTGCGCCATTAACCCTGAAAATACGGTACAAAGTTTTGTTTTATGCGGGAGTGACCTCCAGCCACTTCTCAAAAGGTAAGGTTCGACATAAGGTACGAACAACTGAGGATTAAGTGTGTGAAGTTTCGTTTAGTTCTGGAAAGCTCAAGAAAAGCTTTAGTCAACCAATTGAACTGCTTTTTTTGCTTTTTTGCTTCTGGGAGTAACGGGTTAGGAGAGCTTTACTCACTCTGTGATATCCGTTTGGTTCGAGATTGTGCCAGACGATGAGTGATAATAAGGTGATGCGCTGGAAGGGAGAGCTCAAGCGTTGACATTAAATGAAGTTGGCAGAACTTAACAAATTTCGACAGGAGGTAGTAAACTCCCTCGATCTACGTAGGTTTAAACACCTAGCCTTAGCCGTCTTGGCATTCATTGATTAACCTTGTACCTGCGCATATCTTGGCGAAGCTTAAATTTCGTAGGGTTGGGAACAAGCCAAATACATGTACCTGAATGTATATATACCCGCATGTACGTATACGTACCGATTGGTTGTCTAGTCCTGAAAACATCCATCCTTTAAAAAGTTTACAGCCCTATCGACCATGTCAGACTTGCATTTACTCCGTGCTTCACCAGTTCTCCGTTTTTTAAGGCTTTGTGAGTCCCCATTGACTCAGCCGGGTTGCCTTCCCATGTCGACTCACAAATACATCTAGTTCTCGCCTCCGGCGTTGACCAACATCGAGCCACCATCCAATAAACTCAGTCGAATGGATATCAAGCGCTCGCCGAGCCCTTCTCGTTCTCTTCAGCTCCTTAATAAAGCCAGCTAAACCGCCCAACATGGGAGGGGGTGCACTGGGTTCTAAAAGTTTTTTTTCCTCCGTTGTCCTTTTAAATGGATCGAGTGCGTGAGACTATACAATCGATAATCAGGCATGCTAATCTATTAGAAAGCTTAAGCTCTTCAGGTGTCATCCCTTGATTAATTCAGGGCAGCATTCTCAGGAAGATACTACCTCGCTAGCCGGGGGTTTCGGTAGTGGTGCGAGAAACGACCGAAGGATCAAATACGCTGGTTAAACGCTTGGACAGTCTAAGAAAGTATATATTCTGGCAATAATTTCTTGATGGGGTTTGCATATTCCGCCCTATCAGTGTTGACTGACGCCTTGGTTTGTTAATGAATTGGCCTGTAGATAGATGGCTGTAATGAAAGGGTTCCGAATTTTGTTAATAGCCGGATACCTACCGGACCAACTAGTGATGGTCGGTCAGAAAACAAACATCTACGACAGCTACAACGCTTTCTGAACTCAGAAATCGCGTGGACATTGCGCGAGCCTGCTAATTAACTAACATATCTGGTCGAGGAACGAGAGTGGAACGGTGGTTCATGTCTTCCATTCAATGCGAAATTCGAGACGCAATACACTCAACTGATTGAGCACCGCTCGCTACTAATTTATTATCTGCTTGGGATCAGGGCTATGACTTGAGTGAAGTGCTGAAACTATTTTTCCTGATAGGTATGTCTAACTAATAACTATACTGTAACAGTTTTAAACAGCTCGCGACAAGGTATAGGCTTTGTGGAGAGGATTCCAAATTGAATTAACAGAGTGCTGACCAATGCTTTTGGGCGGGATTATTCTCCTCTATTGGGACACCTTTTTTATTACAAACCAGTCTTTCCTTTCTTATATTGTTCTGAGAAACAACGCCATCCTACACCCACTTATTCTACACCGAGTGATATTCCATGATGCACTATCACGCCCTCCTTACATGAAATGAGGTGTTCGATTACACCACTCGTCAATTTGTGTCGTTGTTATGGGCGAGTTGGTGGCTGTAGGCTCACCCACGGGGTACTAGACTGAAACACAATTATCTATAAATATTCTTCAACGGTACGCACGCCTGCCTCTTACTACTAGACTTACATAACAGATAGCAGTAGATACCGATCGAAGTATCGCTCATGCATTTTATGCGCGCCCAGATAACAACCGACTAAGAGTAGATCCACTGACTGAGTAGCAACGGATTCCTGGGTCGCGCCAAAGACAGCTGTGGTTGAATTCAATTTACTGGCCACTACTCATGGTTCTAACTATGGGCGCTTTACGCCTTAGCCACCGCCAGCCTCTCCCCAAATGAATTGCTACTCATGTGGCGTGGCGATAAGTGCTATATGGTATGAGATTCTATTCGTGGTCTAGCGGATAGCTTGTATTCGTCAATCGGCCAAAACATTCAAGTACAGCGGCAGCGCTAACAGAAAAAATTCAACTTTCAAGACCGTTCTCGATCAAAAACCACCAACTTATGGACTTGAAAGCCGTAGTCCTGAAAAAGAAAACACAGGCTATAAAACACATCAACACTACTACAACAGTTCATCATCATCATCATTTCCTCTCCATCAAAAACCTACACCCACCGCAGCAAATCACAATACAACATGCCCTCTGCACTCTCCTCCCTCACAGAAGCACACCTAGCCGAGCTCAGCAGGCTCAGCCACGCCTACGTGCTCCTTTTGAAGATACGCGCTCGTTTATACGACGCATACACGTCCCGCCACGCCGCAAGTATTTCTGTCCTCCGTGAACTGATCGGAACAGCGGAATTTCCGGTGGCGCTGATGGAGTCGATGTTTACACGGCAGCAGCTTGCGGAGGCTGCTGAGGCGCTGCTAGCGAGGTCTGAGGGTTTGAGTGAGGATATTGATATCTGTGAGCAGTTTTTGGAGGGGGATAAAGAGGCAGAGCAGAGGGTCTTAGTGTTGAGTAGGTGGAGGTGTGCGATGTTGGAGGTTGCGGTTGCGGAATTGGATGAGTAATATTGACCAAAGCTAGAGTGCTACTGGAGAGACGTGTTTTGGCTTAGAATTGAGTTGAGAAAATGATCGATGGTAATCTTAGATTGGTATTTGAATGAAGAGCCCGATGGTAATGAAGGATAGTACTTATCAGTTGTGGATCCGCAGACGCGAAGGTAAAGTGAAGTGTGCAAGACCTTATTAGTAGACAAGTCTCATATACCCATATAATTCTTAGCATAGCCTGCAATAAAACTCTTACTATGAACGCATAGTGATAGCCATATATAACTCCGGAACTCGGAAACCCAATATCAACATGAACAATTCTCATGCAGTCATTGGTCGAGTGATATCCTGTGACTCCAATACCATACTTGAGGTAAGCGATTGCACAACCCAGTCTCCTAAATATCGATATCACAGCTCACCGATTCAAATACCTTTCCCCCTTCTTCTACAAACGGCCAAACTACAAGTAGCACGACCGCTCCGGTCGAGCAAGTAAGCGTATATAACTTGTGAGAAAAACCACCACCCGCAACACTTAGTCTAGTTGCAATTGGTCAAAACCGAACAATCGAGACCGCATTCCCCATCTCCACTTGATACTAGCGTAAAGTCACGTACGCATGAAGTCCTCGTGTTTACATTACAGCTTTCACAAACGCACATACGTAGCACGAGGTTGTCGCGTAGGATACATGTACGTACGCTATAGCTAAGGGCTTATGCACGTGGCATTATACTTTGTCCTTGGCGATTTAATTGCATAAATTATCAGAAGCATGCTTCTTGCTTCCTTTAACCTCTCTCACCTCCATTCACTCCCTTAATTCATCTACCGCTCGAACCCGCGTTCCTTATGCACCAACGTTCATTGAGTATCCCGACGATTAGTAGTCTCCAAGAGCTGCTACCAAACAACGAGTGATCCTTCATGATCAGATTCACTCCCCGATCCCGATACCCCGATCCCGAGCCAGTAAGTGATTCCTCCTCCGGGGAAAATCGAATTAATAAAACCCTTGCGAGCACAGGATTTAGCCGTTAGCTCGCTGTTGCCTGTAAAGGACCGGTTTGATCAATTCAAAAAGTTCCGGGTAGCCGCTCTCCCGATCGCGACTCCCGGGACCGGGCTTCGGTTCTGGAAATAATGTTACTGGCTCCGAATCAGGCTCCGCAATGCATAAACCCAGCATAGAAAAGATTTAGGTCCTATCTAGCCGACTACAAAGAACTAAAGACCCGACCCAGGCTATAAGTTGACTGGAATTTCTCAAAGCCCGACATGATTACCTCCACCACTAAATGAGCAATCACTCGCCCAGAACCTTTCTTTCATGAACCATCCCTCGCACTGAGAATGTTAGGTCTATTGCGATTTCTGCTCCGACTACACGGCTAGAATTACCCACGAATAATTTACTCTCCGTCATTCTCGGGCCCGTCCACCCACATAAAGACTGTAAAATCGAGGTTGTTGACATGTGTAATCCCTTCTTTTATAGCAAGACTTTATAGACTGACTATCTACAAGGCGTTTACCGGCGATAATCCCTAGAATCGAATGGATTTTGGCATATAATTCGCCAATATATACAGTCCTGCCCCATTGCAAGGACCTCGACTTACTCCCATATTCGTTCTTTGAACAAACACTAAAAAGGTACGATCTGCACATGTATCTGACTCTAGGAATAGATAGACTCTGACGCCCTTAAATTCCCCCCCAGTATCACACGCCAAGAACGAGTGATACTTCATGGTTCATAATCCACCATTCACTATGCACCGTCTTCACACCCAACAAACACACCAATTGCAAATTTCTCCATGCACCGCTCACCACGGCAAATCCAAGCTGGAAGAATGCAGAGAATCGACTGCAATGACACATAAAATGCCCGCGGAATCCGGAATACGTAAAAAGTACGTACATGAACCCGGAAGTCCGTTGCATGCCTTGCAGCGGATCGTTCGGCAGGCTGGAAATGACCTGACTTAGAGTAAAATTCAAGCTTTGGTCACATGAGAATGACCGCAGTGTCCAGTAGTGTATTCTGATGTACACTGCTGCCATGGCTCACAATCAATTACCAGCGGGCGACGTGATCAGTTGGTTTCGAGTAATAGATGTTCCGGGTGGGCCATGAAAGGTTTAAGTTGGCTGTATAAACACGTGAACCCACTGAATGTGGACCCATTCTTTGATTCCTACGTCTGAGGTGAGCTCATACTATTTTATGTATGATGTGAGGATAATATCAAGCTCTAATTTCATCTTTAACAGAGATCACGTTGATCAAGAGCGTTGATCTAAGCTTACTAAGATAGGTTCGGGTCGGTCCGCCTAAAAGATTTGCCGAACTGGTTTATTATCGTGTCTCGATCCAGGTTATGGTTACCAGCGTTCTTCTAATCACTAGTGATTCATGAAGCAATATCTTGTTTTCAGAAGATCTGATGACCGGAATTGAGGTTGATTTTATATCACTAGTACACACTGATGATTCATTGGAGAGATAAGGAAAGTCTCGATTGTGTGTGTGTGAGGTAAGAAATAAAAGAGCTGCATATCACATGCCTGGTTCTAAACCCATACTTAGATTGCATCGAGTTAAGTAAAAGTCACTAACACCATATTGAGGTTGACTGTTCGTCACAAAATCTCTACATAGTCAAGGTTTTCACTTCCCTGAGAAAATGTCTGGGTAGATATATCATGCATAAAAAGCAGTTAGATACATAAAGCGCATTATAGAGAGGGGGGGAGATCTAGGTAATCTATCAATCTATATCCCAGAAACCAGAGATTTTTGATACATAAAGAGTACATGAGTACAAGCAATTAACGTTCAGTGTAAATAATAGGAAAATAACCATAAACCACCATATTGCATGCCATAAAAAAAGTAAGAATAAATAAAATATTGATAAAGAAGGTACGAAAGAAAGGAATGAAATCTAACATTCAGCCACGCACTGGAAGTCACTACCTCAAATCCACCGGCCATTTTGACCTGATGGTCTTCCCGTACTTGTAAATAAATGGCAAAAAGGGTACCAATATCAACCCCAAGAAGCCTAGCAATGTATTGCCCCACCCAAGCCCGAGCTTTCCGTACATGCTTGGCCCTGCCATCGGCAAAAACGCGCCAAACAAACTACGTGTCGCCGTCAGGGATGCGATCACACTGGCCGCATACTCTGGGAACGCATCAATCAGATACGTCTGCACGGGGATGAAGATGCCCATCATACCGAAGCCGAACGGGATCATACTGATGATGGCGACAATCCAGTGCACATGCTTCTCCGTCACCCACCCGTACCAGAACAGCGATATGGGTAGGAACATCCCAAAGATCATACACGACGGCAGACGCATCTCCGGCTCCGGAACACCACCATTGCGTTTCGCTAGCTTGATAACGGTTGCGTCCGAGATCTTTGCGACCGCGCCGACACCGAGGAAGAGGCCGATACCGATACCGAGGTAGGCAAGACCGGTCATATCAGGCTCCCAGCCATACTGGCCCTGGAAAACGCTGGTAATGGTCGTGAAAAGGAGATATAGGAGCCCGTAGGTAATACTCATGTACAGCGAGAGAAGTGCAACAATTGGGGACATGATAAGGAGCTTCAATGGGCGCATGAGACCGTGTGTGAGAACGGCGATGGGAGATAGCGGCGGGCCAACATGTTCTCTGTCGTACCAGCTGACAAGACCCTCGTTCCCAGTCTCCTTCTTCAGGGCCGTTGTCTTCCGAGCCAGGAGCACCCTCGGGTTGGACTCGCGGTTCAACACCCAGATAAGAGCAGTAACAAGGCCGGAACAAATCAAGAGGACCCAGTACACCCATCTCCAGCCGACACGTTGCGCGATGAAGCCACCACAGATAGGGCCAATGACAGGGCCAAAGAGTGGGCCCATTGCATAGATGGCTGTTGCCTTTCCACGCTGCTCGGCGGGGAAGAGATCACTGATAACACCACCTCCGATTGTAAGACAACCGGAACCACCAACGCCACTGAAGAAGCGGAAGACGATGAGGGAGTTGAGATTGGGAGCGAGGGCACAGCCAATCTGCCAGACAACGAAGAAAGCATTGGCGTAGTTAAGGACGGGACCACGACCATAGATCTCACTAAGGGGTGAGAGAAAGAGAGGGCCGACCTGGGGGTTGCATATTAGTAGGGTCAATGATTTTTATAAAAGGGAGAGCAACTTACGGCATATCCAAGGACGAAAACAGACACGACAAATGAGGAAAGGATAGTTGAGGTATTTCCAAACTCCTTGTTCATAAACCCAACACCAGGTGCAAACATAGAAGACGCCAGTGGGCTTCAAAGGATATCAACAAGCTATACATATAAATCAAGAATGGATGGAATACATACCTGACCAACGTAATACTACTAACCAATGCCAAAATCGTCCACTTGAGTTTCAACGGAAAGTTCTTTGGGTTCAATGGATCATCTTGTCCATCCCACGCCACGATCCCATTCGCCAAATCCATCACGGGATGCTCCGGCTCCTTCAGGTGCTCCCCCGCCGTAGGGTCCTCCTCTAGTTTATCATGAACAGTTTCAGTCCGTACCGTCGTCTAGCACAAGACGACGTTCATATCAGCTTCATTTATCTCCAAACCAAAACACAGGAGAAAAGGGACCAACCAGTTCGTTAACAGATCCATTCACAGGTGTTGTGGCCGTCGTGTCAGGACGGCTGCCGAAATCGCTTTTTCGGTCCTCGATTGTCTCTTTGAGTGTATCTGCCGTTGAGGGCGGCGGGCCCGGCTTCTCATTGAACGACATTATTGTTTTGTTTTGTTGACCGGACGTGCTGTACTACTTGGCGTGATGAAATATAGCACGATATATAACTATGAGTATATATATAAAAAACGACTCAATAAATAACAATAAAACCCCCTTCAGATGCCAAAGGAGAGTAATTAGTTAGTTAGCAAGAAGATCGAAGTAGGATGTCGCAAGCCAAGTTAAGTAGCAACTGCTCGGATTAAATATAAAAACACAGGTACTACTCCTTCCCTTTTTTTTTTCCTTCTCGGAATTTCCAACAGTTTTTGCTCTTTCGTCTCGGTGATCTCGGGTTCCGCTCGGGTTCCGCACATGGGTACTGATCCCTGCACGATGGTGCGATAAGCCTTTTTCTAGGGCCACCATCTGATAACAAATGTTAGATTAGTCTGATTAGGGAGGTGCAGGAGAATGGCCGGGGGGGCTAATTGGGTTTAATACAGGTAGATTGGCCCTACTGGATGTTTCTGTCTAACCTGCGCCGCAAAGGAGTTGGGGGAGATTAGTAGATTGGGGCCAAAGTAAGGTTACTGGTTGGAACTTGGAACTGGTGTTTTTCTTTTCAGGCTAGGTTTGCGCATCTCAGATCTCGGGAACGGTACTCGCATTTTTCACAAGTGGCCGAGCCGAAACATCCACGGAACCCGTGAGGCTTTGCTACTCTACATGAATCTCATGGATGTAGCTAGGCTAGGCGGTCTACCTAGACTCAGGTATCTAAACTATGATGTGTTTCAGGGGGCGTGCTCTCATGTTCCCTAACATCTCTCGGATATTAATTAGGTCGCCTTTCTTCGTCAGCCAGGCACTCAATTGTATCATGGGCATAATTAACCCTCCACGCGATCATTCCCATCTCCTCCGTACCTATCTACCTTCCCTTTTGATCCTCTCTCTACCTCCCTCAGACAAAGAATCACTAATCATATAACTCAAGCAAATTCCCCTCCACTGACCCCGCGCGCTGTGAGAGCGAAGGAGAGCAATTATTGACCTGATACCACTCACTCTCTAGGTAGCTGTCGCTGTAGCTTACGTATATACATACATATTTGCCTACCAATGGGCCTATGATGGGTCATAGCCGTGATCAAATAGTTGGTCGGGTCTTACCTGCGTCCTACGGCATGCATAGGTAGAGAGCGAGAGAAAGCGAGAAAGCGAGAAAGCGAGAGAGAGCAGCACTCCCATCCATCCATCCACCCCAACCCTCACCCCCAACGAAACCCCCCGCGACTTTTGCCTTGGTATTTTTATAACCTACCACCAACACGCAAATCAGCTACTACATACAATGCAAACTCTAGCCTCCCCCACAAACGCCAGTACTCCTCCGCCCTCCTCGGCTTCCGCCCAGTCCGAGTATGCGCGCTTCCGAGCCTGCGACGAGTGTCGCCGCCGAAAGGTAAGCCTTCTTTCCTTCTTCTTCTTCTTCTCTCTCTCTCTCTCTCTCTCCCCCCCCCCCCCCCCCCGGGGACCTCCCCCTCCCCTCTTCCAATCTCCTCTAACTCCGAAACACCCACTCTCACTCACCCGCTCTTTCTCTCTCTGACTTGTCCCGGATAGATCAAATGCGACGGCCGGATTTCAGGTTGCCGACATTGCGTGAACTCATCTGTCCACTGCGTCTACAACACCCCTACCAAGACCACGAGAAAGCGTGCCTCATCCTCGCAGTCCTCAAAACATCTGTATGTGTGATGATGATGATGACACCTCACAGTTTCGCCCCCACATGCACAGAGCTGACAAAAATAAAGGCCTGATGCCGAGACCGCCGTTATACTCGAAGAGCGTTTAGAAAGAATCGAGCGCGCCGTTAAGGAACACCTCGCAAATCGATTATCCTCCGTAACTCGCGAAGATGAGTCGTCGCAGGATGATCCGGAACATGCCGACGTCACACCCAAACGCCCGCGGCGCCATGGCATCGCCGAGACCGCCGCTGCCGTCGGGGGAGATTTAACCGCCAAGCAAAATAGCCACAACCCTAACCCACAGAAACACCAAGCCCTCTACCACTGGAAAATATCAGATGAGGAAGGGACAACAGAAAGGATTACAGCAGATGAAGGCTTGATTGAAGACTTTCAGGGAAAGCTTAAGTTCATCGGCGAATCGTCGGTATTCTCACTGTTTTTGCCGCGCGGGATGCAGTGGGTGTGCGAGAAGCTTGGGGAACCTCATTTCTTTGATCCATTAAATCGGGCGGCACTCACACAGTGGACTCTGAATTCCCCGAGCGGGAACATAATTGATATCTCCATGGCCGGCCTTCCTCCGGGGGAGGAGGAGCCGTTGCCGTCAAGGCAGGTGGTGAGGAAACTTGTTAACGGTGGGTAAGAAATCGTAAAATACTGATCTCCCCTTTTATTCACTCCAGATATATGTACACATATATCCAGAGTGAATCACAATAGACGAGTTTTACTTATTTTTACCTTAATTTCTCTTTCGGTATCTACCAGACTACTTTGACCGCATCAACTGTGTCATACCCATCTTCTCACGATCCCGATTCTCCACCGAACTTGCCATGTTCCAGCAAAACGGGCACCGAGCCTCGCCCTCGTGGCTCATATCCTTGCATAGCATCCTCGCTCTCGCATTACTCTTCAATCCCGTCAATGAGCCTGTTGCAGAGCGCAAAGCTGCCGAAAAGACTGGGCTGGCCCTCTTCCGTACCGGATGTAGACATGTACCCAAGGTTTTGTTCTGTAACCGTGACATTAGCGGCATGCAGGCTCTTCTGGTGACAATTTTGTTCCTCTGGGAAACACACAGTACCGAGGGGTGTTTCACACTGCTTGGGGTAGCTGTGAGCATAGGCACCGAGATTGGGTTCCATCGGTGTGGTACTCAGCTAGGGCTGCAAGAGGAGAGCGAGGTAGAACTGCGAAGGAATGTTTTCTGGTCGGCGTATATTCTCGACAAGGACATGTCACTGCGCATAGGGAGGCCGTCAAGCATTGCTGATGAGGATATAAATGTGAGACTACCACCGACATCGCAAGAAGGTGGAGAGTCCATGTTTTTCCATAGAGTTATGTTATCGCGGATTCAGAGCAAGGTTTCCAGGTTACTATGTAGTCAGACTTCAGTAAAGATGCCAGGAGTGGCAGTACTAGGAACAATCAGGATGCTGAATCAAGAACTAGAGACCTGGAAGGTCGGTTGCGAGTTGATGGCGGATGGCGAGGTAGATGGGGGAAGACCAGAGAGAGCGCAGCACCTTTTGAGATTGAAATTGGTGTATTATGCATGTCTGACTGCTATCAACCGGTAAGTACTGAACCTGTTTTTTAGTTTGTGTCTCCTTTTCGGTCATCTTGATGAAACGACGGGAAAATACTGAAGAACCCAAAGGCCATTATGCCCAGCTTTCGACTTGCAAGACACCGCCGACGCTGAAGTTCCACCCACCACCCCCATAGCTGCTACCAAGCTACAAGGCTATGAATCATGCATTTATGCAGCGCGCGAATCGATTTCCCTGATTGACGTCTTTGAGCAACTTGGGCTGCGGCTTCTGCGGACAACAGCAATCAGTCTAATCGCAGCATCAGTGACGCTTTTTACCAACACTCTAGAGAACCCGGGGCCGAGACGGTGTGGGACGATATTGGGAGAATCCGAAAAGTGTCTGAGTTTTTGAGAAAGGGCGTCGAGGCTGGATGCCCGAACCTCAGTGAGATGTTCTTCTTGACGTTTACGTTATGTAGTATGGCAACCAAAAGTGTAGAGAGATTGGGGTCGATGGGTGGTTCTGCCGCGGGAAACGCGGAGGGGGTGGGGCGGCGACGAATGGTGCCAGCGAGATGGGTACACAGGAGTTTGGAGGTGTAAGGCAATTCTGTTTAACATATCAGCAATAGGGACGTGCATGTAGTAGTAGCTAGTAATTTGATTTTATCGGTGTTTCGGTTATATGTTGAGCCCGAGGAGGTCGACATCCTTATCGTTTGCTGGTCCCAATTATCGTAATGCTTTCTTGCGTGCAACACAAGATATCACTCATCGAGTGGTTTATCGACTTATCCTTGTCTAAGAGCGTACAATATTCTTTGTAATGTACACAATCAGTCGATCGACAAATCAGGGCACGCCGCATGCAACGAAGGATAATGTATCGAGGAAGAGCAAGCCCAACCGCTCTTTATAAATGGCCGAATCATAACACCGAGCAGTAGAAGACACCTACCAAACAAATCCACCACGCACGCCCGACCCTCCCCACATATTTTTAGAGTGTACCAAGCACATCGTGGTACTTCAAGTAGTACTTACGTATCAAATTCCGATGAGTTGAATACAAAGAAAGTACTTCTTACGGCAACTGAAGGGTGTTATATTCCTTCCCGAGGAAAGCCTCCACGAAGCCCCTACTTCCTTTTCGATATAAGTATAAAAACTGACAGGCCAGTCGACCGAAATAAAGAACGCCGAAACAAAAATGATCCGGCGCCCTCAATATTAAACCTAACAAGGAACAAAAGGATCGCTGAGCGATTTTGAGTTACTCTCTGGCGGGGAATTGAACCCCGGTCACTCGCGTTTCGTCAGATGACAAGCGAGTATACTAACCACTATACTACCAAAGATTGATAGAAGAAGCTGCCCAGCTCATGATAAGTTAATTAAGATTACTAATAATAGACTCCAATCTTCGTGACATGTGGCAATCTATAGCTCACCACGCAAAATTAACAGCCCAGTTGAAGCGACGCAAAAATCCACAATCGAGTAGAGTAGTCGTGATTCGCGGGGGTTTTGCCCAAACCAGTAAGGCCGTTTCTGTCCGCTGCCAAGACACACCCGAATAGGTTAGGGACCACGAAACCCCAACACCGGGACAGAATTTTCCGTTACCTCCTCTCACGAGCATATTTCGTTACTTTCTCAACAAGCATATTTCCCCTCACCAAACCCAAATCCAACGCTCTCAAACCCAGAAAAAAACATGGGCGATGCCTTTTGTCGGCATGCATGTCTTCTCTTTATAACGCCACAAACCCCAACAGAACAAAAAGCGTGGAATTGATGCTCTGACTCGGAGTTGAACCGAGGATCTCAGCATGACATACTAGTGCTGCGCCTTACCAACTTGGCCACCAGAGCAGATATCTGTGTGTTTGTTTGGGGGGTTTTGTTTCAATTTCTGATATTTGGTTGCTAGTAAGAGAGTGCCAAGTCCCGGCGTAAATTATTAGATCAGTGATAACGTAATTCGTAATTGAAATGCTATTTTGCTTCAATTTTGGGCGAAATTGCTCTAAACCTCTTGTACCTAAAGCTAGTGGCATTAGAATGTGAATTAAGCGAGAATTGGACTATTCTAGTGGGGGGACATGCCCAAGCTACAGCGTTTCGGCATTCCAAAACAAGAATTATATGCCTGGAGAAAGATTTGTGGAAGCCTCCACTGAGAGAGATACTTTCCCTAACATACGGAACAAGATGGTATATGTTTAGGGCCTGAGATGAAAAATAGGCGCGGGTAAAGGAGCACCACTATATCACGCGCGCGCTTTTGTTCTCTCTTCCCTGAGTATATCTTTTTCCCTTTACCCCCCTGGACAGGCGGGCTCAGAAATTTGAACATAGTGACCTCCGTGTCTATGTTATACATATGGTAAGTAAATGACTATCAGCGGGATAAGGAAAGTTTGGAGGTGTCGGACATATGCAAGTTCATGATAAATCACTCGTAATCCGTAGAATGCATAGTGCTGAAAAAGGAAGACGAGATACGCGCAACTGACCCGATGCTGTCTCGAAAAAAAGGTCTAACTATACTTTGTAGGTGTACAGCCTTCAGGAGTTGTAGAACTTAACGAAATAGAAACAAAAACAGCACCCTCGAGCACTATAGCACAAAGACTGATGAATCTCTCCGGTATCGGTACTAAGTCTTTGTATCCTAGCAAATCAACCCTGTCAAATGCTTTCGTTGTAGAGGTATCATCTATCTAGGCGGGGCAAACAAACCCAGACATGCGTTAAATAATCTCATCTACATCCCAATATATCAACAATCACAATCCATATATGCAACGAAAGTTTAAAGGGAGCTAGCGCTTTTCTACAAGTTCACATCACCAAAACAAAGCACCTTGCTAAAGTAAACGAAAAGACCCAAATTGTAGTAAAGTTTTAAAATTCTATATACCCCCCCTCCACTATACATCCACGCACAACCACCACCACCCACATCAAACGCCCACCAAAACACACCCAAAGGACCAACGAGGACGGCAGCAACGAGCACATATTTCGTCTGTCAGATGAAGTTAGACACAGTCTTTGATGTCTCATCGCGATTGGATGATTAACTTACCGATTTCAGAGCACCGCCGCCACAGACCCCGCCACACCCGATACTCAGATCGCATGTCTCTCCATCATGTGGGAGCTGTGAGAGCTACCCCCTCAGTGATGTTGCCTTGGCTCCATACCTCCATGGCAACCCATATCTATCGCACTCCCGACACCCCCCAGGAGGATAACGTTGGATTCTGGTTCCCCAGATCATATTGGCCGTGCTTTTATGGATGTTAGTTATGCCTCTTTCTCTTATTGATGGATTGCATTACTTACAACCTCAGATTCACCAGCGTCAGGGCGGGTCAGTCACCCATTCCTGACTGCCCACACCCGAGCCTCGAACTCCCCCTCCTCAAAAGGCTTATCGAGGGCGGCCCCAAAGGGCAGAAAGCAGACAGGTAGACCCCGCGGACCGGCGACTGCAACATAACCTCTCGCCCCACCGGCAGTCTTATCAAGACTGTCGGGCTTCTTCTTGCCCTTTGTTAATGTTGGCCCCATTTTCTTCTCTTCAACTCACTGAATTGCTAATACATACCAGCGCAAAACTCAAGACCATTGATTCCCTCCTACCTCAGGGAGCTTGTGAGGGCGGCTTCAACAGGCAGGGAGGCAGGCAGGCAGGCAGGCAGGCAGGCGGGAGGGTATCATGACCATGATATACTCAGGGACCATCTCTTGAAATTCCCATGCCGAGACCCCCACCCCTCAAACCTACTAGTAGCCGAGACCCCCAGACAATGAAATTCTGGGTAGTATTTCTTCGCCCTCGTTTCACGCTTGGTTATTGTCAGTACATACACTCTAATTCGACTTACTGGATTGTTAACATACCACTTCAAAGCCCCGAACCACCCACGCCACGCTTCAAAGAAAAGAAATGGCGGCTTCTAGAGTTAGGGAGGGGTAGTAGCAGATGCCATGTCCCTAGGTCTTCAGGAGTCTGCTCCCGACAACAGACTCCTAAGGACCTTAATCTCACTCTCCCCTGCAGTCCTCGCGGACCTAGGGAGAGAATTGGAAGTGGCGTTCATCTTCGCCACGCCCTAAATCATCGTCAGCATATGCACTTTTCACTTCATTTCACTAGGTTGTTATTATACACACCTCTCCAGAACTCTGTCGTAGCCACAGTCCCACTCCCCTCCCAGACCTCCCATAAAAAAACAAGGGAAAAGCCGGACCAACCACCAGGCAGGTCCGTTGCCCCTGTCATTCTCATTAATCTACCTCCCACAACAACTCCCGAGGACCGATATGCTTAACCTCACTTCCCCCCGTGGTCCCGCGTGGACCCGGGGGAACCGGAGTTTTGGTCGTACTTGGAGCTTTGGGTAAGTTAGCTATGCCTGACATTTCTGTTTACTTGGCTAATTAGATTGTATACATACCATACTTCGAACACGGCCTCAAGAGGCCCCCCCCCACACTTAAATGGCCCAGTGGTGATGGCCTCTATTGGCGGGAAGGTATATACCCCGCCCTCAATACGGCTACCATGGCTCCGCGGCCCCCATCAGTAGCCTATAAGGATAACAAGGGGGCCGGGAGGATAGTGAAGCTTCTTTTTTCACTCCGGATACTACTCCCGGCCTCCTTGCCCTTTTTATCGTCAGTATATGTACTCTTTTTTTGAGGGATTATTCTACACACCAATATCCCAGAACCGGGTCCAAGGCCTCCCCCACACCCCAAAAGTATTTGAGGGCGGCCCCAAAGGGCAAAAACCGGCAGCGGGGGGGGGGGGGGCAGGCGTGAAGTAGGAGGGCCTCCACGGGTCAACATCCGCCCAACCAGCTGCCCCGGACCCAATCTTTCATCTCGCTGATCTCCCCAGTAGTCCCTCGTGGACCCGGGGGTTGGCCAAAGATTGGGTCTTATTTGGAGCCTAAGGTACATTAGTTATATTCTTCTCTTCATCTCACTAGATTATTGCTACACATACCGTTCCTCCAGTATCGGTCCTTGGACATTTCCCACCCACACACCCTAAAAGCTTGATGATGCCGGTGGCATCAACGAGCAGAATCATAGACCCCAGGAGGGAGGGGGCAGGCTGATAAGCCGCACCAAGCACCCCCGAGAATCTATTTTCCACAACAAACTCCCTGCACCCCCGCACCCGTGGTTCTGCTCACCCCGGCAGCAGGCCCAGGTAACCCTTAAGAACCACGGGGTGTAGCCGTACAGGGTCTGATGGTTTTGGTTAGTTATGCCTTTTGAACGATCTTTTGTTTAATTTGGGATTGGATTGCATCACTGCATGGATGGGGATAGAGTTTTTATACATACAACGACATGGGAAGGCTGATAAGGATCCGACCCTCAAGCATCTCATCTCCATTCAGCAGAGCACCGAAGGTGCAGATGGAGGGACGCGAAAACGAGCAGATGCTCGGGAAAGGTTGAGCCCCAGCCGGCCCCGCAGGATAATATGCCCATAGACGTGGCTATGGAGGGGGCCGGAGGTGAAGTCTGAGATGGAGAGGCTCAGCCACGGCAGAGGAATAGGCCCCTTCTTGAGACAGATGTCTCGAGTGTGGGGTTAGGACTGTGATGATGGTATAGTGGTGTGGCGGGGGGATGGATGGAAGGTGTTCGAGCAGAGAAACAAAAAAAAAGCCAGCAGAGCAGTGGAGAACGAAGAAGATAAGCAATCTATCCATCTCTTGGCACACAGATTCAATAAACAAAACAATAATTATCTCAGCGCTGAGGAACAATTTACACTGAGAAAAATTACGTTGTGGAGCGTGTGCCCCTCGAGGGGTGGAATCTGGTTTAGGTGCGAAACGTTACACGATTTTGGGGGATGGAAAAAGCACCAAAACCTCGTCTTGTGGATCATGAAATCGCAACTGCCTTTGCGGTTCTTGTTTCTGTTTGTCTCTATTACGTGGTTGAGGTAATTCGGTACTCGTTGAGTGGTACAGCTGACAATCGTGATAGTGATACTGCGTATATACGTATGGTGATGTTGGATATAGTGTAGAATACTCTCGTTAGTGGGATAGTAATCGATGGTCCCGAAATTAGTACTGTTTTAACTAGCTTTGCTAATTTCTCATATCGATACTCGCCTTATAAGAATAAGTAGTCATTGGTTGCGGTTCCAAACGTATCGTTATATCGATAGTCGACTGTAGTAGGTTAGTAATACTGAAAAGTTCAATCCCACTCCGCCCATACTGCAGACTATAAGCTCTCTCTTCCTCAAGTCCAAATCACAGTCAAAAAAAACGCCTGAAGCCCTCAATAACCCTTTCCCCCCCCCCCCCCCCCGCTCTCCACGCTCCAAAAAAAAAAAAAAAAAACACTAAAAACAGGTTCAAACACTTGTGCTTAACACATCTGAAGTTCAGCCTGACTTGACTCTCTGGCGGAGAGCTGCTGGGATGAGTCGCTGGCGAGAACCATGCGGCGAGTAAGACGCTGTGATCTCTATGGATCCCTGCTCAACCTAGACTTACGTATATTTTGTACAGTAATCGAAGGCCAGACCGAGGGTGGGGGGGGAACGTCCATGCTATTTAAGCTTCCGAAGCACTGCCCGGGGTCGATCCCTTATATAACCGTATCTATCAATCCGACGGTAGGGTATCGGCCTCCAGCGTAGTGAGCTAAATAACGGCCGGCGCTACATAGCAATCAGTACCAGCTCTCTGGCAGAAGCCGTGTACATGTTCTCCAGATCACGTTATATCACTCGTCCCGTCTTCCGCCCGCATAAACTCGGGAAATACGGTAAGACTACATGTACTACATGGGGAGTACGCGCGGTGGCCGGCCGGATAGGTTGAACCACCAAATACGGAGGAGTGCTTGCTACATGTAGGCACGAAAGAACAGATCACAGCGAACACTGTCCCCGTTCCTTGAGCGCTGTTTCCTCGCTACTTTAGCACTAAGCTGGTTGGCTTTTGTCTTTGGCTACTTGTTTCTTCTTCTGTTCTAATTTAGTACCATACCACTCGAGCTGGTTTTACTTTCATGCACCGAGCTTGAGCATTTCTTCCATTACCAAATCTATACCGAACTCCTGGTTCGCTCCAAGCGTTATATTCCTTGAAGCGTGTCTTGAAGTGTGTCTTTCCTCCCGGCTTGGTGCTGGCTTCCTTCACACACAACTACAAAGTACTAGTACTTTTCGGTAATCCATCCCTTCCCCCGAGAACCAATATTTGCGTGCTGATGCAGGTGTAAAACTTGTAGGTTAATTGATTCATGGATAACATACTATGAGATGAAAAAGCAGTAAGGTAAAGATCCGTTCGTGACGGCTGAGATTAGAACAAAGCATGCAATGAAAACGTACTAAGTGAGCGAATGCAGTAGGCTGTGATCGAGGAATAAGAAATTAAAAAAATATGAGAATCCCTGAGTCGAAAATAAAGAAAAAGATATGTCTCCATTTCCAGCGAGTTTGAATGAGTGTGCCATTTCATCTCTCGCCGTTCTCCGTTCCCTCATCCCCCCCCCCCCCCCTCCCTTTGCGGCCACTCTACATCGATATCTGGTTCAGCTTGTCCAAGATCTACACCACCGTTAGCCCACCTGAATCCCCTTAAGATACCACTCATCATCTCCATACTCACATTCTCAATAAAGCTTATCTCTGGCGATATCCCCGAGCCCCCCGAGCCCCCCGAGCCCCCCGAGCCCCCCGAGCCCCCCAGCCCCTGCAGACATGCCACCGTGACCTCCATATACATAGCCCCCAACCTCGGTGGGATCAACTCCTTCGCCATCTTCACCAACTCATCCCTCATAGTCCACCCATTCATGTCCGTCAGCTTCTCCATCTCGGGGTGCGCCCTCGGTTTGTTGCCCGCCTCATCATAAACTACAAACGACTTCCACAGCGCAATCTCCAGCAGACACACACCAAGACTATACACATCGTGGTCCATGCGGTACACCTCCTCGGGGAACTCGCCCTGTCGTTCCGGGTGCCGGTAGACGTTCTTCTCCCAATTCGTGTCGCCCAGCTTCGCCGTATTCCCGCCGACTGCCACGCGGAACTTCTGAAAGCCCACAAGGAACGGCGTGCCAATGTGCGAGGAGTCACTCCCGCGCGTGTCGAACACGATGATCGTCTCGGGCCGGAAGTTCTTGTGTACAAAGTTTGCAGAGTGCACGAACGAGACTGTGCGTGCGAGCTGCTTCGCAAAGTTCACCTTCTCAGTGATGCTAAAGTCCATCTCCGCGCCGCCGGACAACAGACTTCTGAAGGACTTCGGGTTCCGCAGCTCCTTCGGCACCTCCAGCACCATCTCCAGGCTCGTCACCAGCCGTGATCCGTCTTTTCCATATACCTTTGCAATCCCTGCACACGACAGCATCCCAAGGGTCAGCGGGTCTTTAATCGCCTGCAGCACCAGTGCAAGCCCCTGCAGGTCCTTTATCACGTTTGCGGCGCCGCGGTCTCGGCCATCACACGGTATCGAGTCGATCAGCACCATCCGGCCCGTCTCCCGCGACTCGTGTGTCTGCACCGGCGTGAACTTGATGGACCCCCGATCCGTCCAGTACGTATTATCGGCACCACCGTACTTGACCGCGTTATTAATATCCTTCTTCGTCTGCTTCACGCGCTCCTCCGTACCCGGCGACCCCGACCTCCCACCCCCAACCGTCAGCTCCAGGTCTGCCCTTGCCTTGCGCAGGTTCTTCACCGTCGATATCGACGCGCTGTTCTTCTCCGGCCCGTCCTTGATCCGCTGCTCAACCTCGGTCCCGTGCACGCGCGCAAGCAGATAAAACGACGGCAGCAGTATCTGGTGCAGCTCCATAAACTCCCGAATCGCGAGCTTCAGCTTCCTAAACCCGCCCTTCCCGGCCCGAAAGGCCGACCGCAGCTGCGCGAGGAAGCCCGAGGCCTTGTCGGGGATGCTGTCGATGCGGCCTCGAATGTCTTCGAGTTTCCCTTTGAGGGTTTTGATGACCCGCTCGTAGTGGTCGCGGACGCCCGGCTCGAGGGAGGACTCGATCGCAGCGATGAACTCGATCTTTTCTTCGAGTTGGCGCCATTGGGCCTCGGCGTTGAGGGAGAGGTCGGCGAGCTCGGTCTCGTAGTTCTTGAAGGTGCGGCACTTTTCGAGGATGCGTTGCCCGGCCCTGGGGTGATATACGTGAGTCTGTCTGTCTTCCGAGCTACATGCAGTATTCGGAGATTCGAAGAGGAATTCAAGCTCACTTACTGGACACAGAGAACAACGAGCCCTGGTATTCCTAGTGCCAAATCCGCCATAATTACTGCTGCTGGGCCTTTATATGTATTTACTTAAACTCGTTTTATTTTTTTCCGAGCTGTCGTTCTCGAATTAAGACTGAGGATTTGGGGGGGTAACTTGAAAGATGTCTGAAGAAAGAAAGAGAAGGTTCAAATAAAACTACACAAAACCCCCCTTAACTCTTACTTCTTACCACTCCAACAACCCAGACGTCAAGGCTGCTACATTTACAAAGCGGGGTATGTACCTCCCGGCAAATACGGAGCCGACCTGCCTATCCTTTACACGTACCTATTCGTGGTCCGAATCACTGCTGTGTGCGAAGTGCGCATAGGAATTGATAGGCAATTGATAGCGAGAATTCAATGTAGGCAGACTCGACTCACAGTTCACTACGCTGCTATGGTGCGTTGAACACTTCACTTGGGCGGAAAGGTGCTGCACTGCCCCATTGGCTGCGTGCCTTGGCGCCGCTCAGCGCTGTCAGCGAGAGCTCTGAATCAAGGCCAATGGACGCGGGCGCTATCTTCATAGAACATCACTCGGTCGTTGCGGATCTTAGGCTTGTTTTACGATTTTTTTTTTTTTTTGTTTAATTCATTAATTGCATGCAGGCTTGTTTTACGACTTAAGATTGATATAAACACACTAGGTACTTAGTTTTCATACAAGGCGGTCAATTTCACAGCCATCTAGCTCGGCGGGATATGAGGGGGTAGAACGTCCAATTCGTATTCTTTATCAAACACATATAGAAAATTCCGGTGGCTCCAGGCCTCCCTCCCCTAGCTACTAGCTCAGTGGTTTCAGGACAGAGCAAAAAAAAAAAAAGAAAAAGAGTTCCCATAACGGGGGGGATATATGCTTGCAAAAGCACCATATTCTATCCACACATCAAAAAAATAAAAATAAAAACCCCTCGCGTCACAAACCATCACTCTCATCCATTCTGATTTCCCCAGTTATCCCAGCTAGTCCTCACCCGTTCTGCAGTTTCGCGAAACGTCTTTGCCTGTGTACCACCCGCCCATTCTCAACCGTCTCTCCACATCTCTCCAGTAGACTGCCCTTCCGCCTTCACCGCCCTTCAGGTCCAAATCGCCTATTTTGCAATCGATCTTTGCCTCCATGCCCCTTCCCCGCCGCTTCCTGACCCACACCTTCAAGAATAACGAACAGTCCCTTAGTGTCATTGCCGTCCAGATATCGTCCTCATCCGCAACGATGTTCTCGTATATCTCACCCGTTGCCATACCAGCACGTTTCAAATCCTCCTCCGACGGCAGCGTCTCATTATCGCCCATCAACTGCAGCGTGGCGGACGTGAACACGCCACGAGACCCAAAGCGTGATTGCAGCTGCGTCAAAAGCGGGATGACAGGCGATGTCCGGAAAAAGTTTGTAAGGAGAGTAACCAGCGAGTTTGATAGCGCCCCTGCAAGTTGCTCGTTGATGTTCGGTGGCAGCGGAGAGGAGTCCTCGCCCTCGTCGTCGTCGGAAGGCGGTGTTGGGTCAGCAATCATGACCGCGTTGTCCATGTTGACAATCGCAAAGGTTGCTTTTTCAATCCGTGCAGGATCGCCGGAGGAGAGATCAAGCGGGCAGAATTCTGCGGCTTCAGGTTCGTGCTCCTCTTCAATCTGCCCCTGGCGCTCCTTGTTCTTGTGGTGCTGCATAAGGCGCACAGCACAGGTCCGGCATAATTTCCAATTTGCCGGGGCATTGGGAGATTGGGTTAACCATTTTGGTTTAAACTCAATCATGGCCATGTCCTTCCAGATTTCACCCTCATCTTCGCCCTCCATGTCCATATCTTCATCCTCATCATCATCCATTTCTGCCTGGCGACGCGGGGGAGCCGGCGGGTAGAGATAAAGGTAGTTCCCACAACTCATGTCTTCCACTAGCAAACCCCAGGGTTCTTTCTCGTCCAAAAGTCTTCTCTTCTTCTTAGGGGGATTAACAGGGCGTCCAGCCCAGTCAGTGGGTTGTTCGTCCTCATCGATCGACTTTAGAAGTAAGTTCAACGCGGGGATTAGGAACGACGAGAGTGCGATAATCTCAGTACGCATTAGGTATTCACCCATCAATGGGCCAAAGCGCCCGTGCAGATGATTGTGGAGCTTTTGGGTCGTAGGCGATCCTGGTAAGAGCTTTCGAAGACGCAGGAGATATGGTTTCTACGCAGAGGTTAGACGTCGGGGATGGGGAACAAAAATGAAGGAGAGATGGACGAACAAAGAATGTGTCCGCTCCCACATACCGGTACAGGACATTGTTTGCTCCTTCACCGAAGTACTCCCAGTCATCAGGATCGTCCAGAACGCGGTTGGGCACAGGCGGTGGAACAAGCCCAGGTGGAGTTGGGGTGGTGGTCATAACGATGGAAGACTATCTATCTAGTCAAGAGGAGTGGATTAATGTAGGCGAAATGCTTCAATAGCGACTCCAGTCTTTGTTCAAGTAAAGGCTCTGCAGAGAAACAAACCAGTATGGAATTAATAAGAGATGGTCAACTGGATAAGTGGTGAGGATGAGGATAATAGTTGTAGACGATAGATAAAGTGGGGTGAGAGGATAGGGGAATGGACACGAATGAAGTGAGTGAGGGATCAGAGGTTAACGTGCTGAAACAAAAACGGTGAGCAGGTGACAAGAGTGAAGATGGGAATGATTACACGTATGACTAGAAGTGGAGGAACTCTTTCTTAACAGATCAGCGGATCGTATTTGATAAAAGTGCTGCAGGAACAAGTGAACAAGTGAACAAGTGAACAAAGAAGCATAGATTTCGAGGTGGAGGAAATAACTGCGAGAGAAACACCAATCCATCTCCGTGACACCAGCGTGACATCCCGGGTAACCCCGCCTCTGCTTGTCTCAAATAATATGCGACGTCACCACTCCTCCCCTCCCCCCAAGTCTTCACAGCGAAGATCATTCGATCCACCGATCCCTTTAGTTCGCTGCATGATCTGACAAGTGCATGTGAAACCATACTCTGCGCAGTGCTCACGACAGTCGAAGGTAGTCTCACGAGTCACGACAATTGAAACATCGGGCCAGTGGGTTGTGAGAACAGATAAAAGCAGGTACGTTTACCTACATACATGTACCTACATGGGTGCAAATATTGCATCACGAGGGGAGCCGGTCGCGGTCGGCCCCATGCCCAAGAGATCGGGGAATACAACCGGCAGTAATAAAAGCCTGATCCCAACTCCAAAAAAAAAAAAAAACGGCGCACGCGATCTGTCTCCTCTGATATGAAACAAAGTTATTAGCGCCAAGAGAAACAAATCGCACGATTCGATGTAAGAGATTGAGTGCGGGAATTTCTCCAGTGTGCGATGGCACTTGAAGGCTTGATGGGTTCCCCATGGTAAAGTGCTCAATCGCAGATCTAGGACGCAACATGGATAAGATGCGGCTCTGTTGAGTGCACGTGGTGATAGGACATTGATTACCTAATTTATCGGTACTTCAATCATTGACCACCTAATGGTAGGAGTACTACTAGTGCACTCAAGACCGGAATTTGTGCCGTTATAGGGCGATTGCCTTTATGGAAAGAGTGTTTGGCCGAAAAGTGCTGCAGATATATTTAGGCGAGCGTAGCGCTTCACGTTTGATCTGCCCTAGTGGCTAATTCTTGATTTTCTTCTCCCGGGGCCCAGAATGTCATCTAATGTACTGCATTGAAAAGCAATAGCTAGAACTGAAGATTTACCTGATGATTCTTTCTCTATAGTAAATGGATTTATTTACTCGGTACACATTAACAGCCATCAAACGTTGACATAGGGAAAATATATATTTACTAATCCTCGTAAAGAAAAGCAGTACGTGGAGTAGATCTAGATAGTGCAGACGTCAAATGACATCGAATTCACTGCCGCCATCTGACATCTCCATGTCGGTTGTAATCTCAAATCTCTCAAAACCAGGAGCTACTCAAAGCATTCCCCACAGATATTCTCTCATCTGGACGTGGCACCAGTAGGCATTGCAAAAGTTCAACCACCGGCTCCTCCAAATAAAACCTCTCCAACGATTCCGTCAAATCTTCTTTCCTTCCCCCACAGAACTCCATCAGTAATTTCAAGTCTTGCTCACGGGGTATCGTGTTGACTTGAATTCCACTCTCATTTGAATCCTCATAGTAGGTAGTAGTGCGACGGAGGAACGGAAGCTCCGAAGTTAGCATCTCATGTAGTAGACACCCGAGGGCCCATATATCGACAGCAGTAGTATACTCATCGCCCCCCTTGAAGCCCTTGATCTCTCTCCGTAGGAAATTAGACATCTCTGGGGCGTAGTAACCCTCGGTTCCGTAGGTCATTCGAAGAAATGTGCCAATTTGAGATTTCGAGATCCCAAAGTCCGTAATTTTAACGTGTACTGGACTTCGGGAAGCGATAAGCACACTCTACTTAGATCTCAGTATCTACCTTTATAAACAGAACTAGAACTATATACTTGTGGTTTTAGATCTCGGTGGCAAATTCTTAGTGAGTGGAGCGCAGAAAGTCCTTCCAAGAGTTGTTTTGTAATTTCTTTTGTGTTTTCCGCCTCTGCGAGCCATGGAGTGCCGATGGCTTTGCTAAGGTCTCCACCCTCGATGTATTCCATTGCGATATATATCGAATCAAAGCTCTCATACCATCCCAGAAACTCTACAAAATAGGGTTGTAGATTTCGCTGTGGCCTCCTGCTTCAGCTCCTTTTGAACTGCCCATAACGTCGGATTTAAAGAGAGAATACTTACACCAGTTACCATCGACAATATTTCTATCTCTCTCAAAGAATCGACGCCTTTATTTTGAATAGCTTTAACAGCCCTTTCATAACTACCACCATGAGACCTTTGAAGCCAGACAGTACCGTATCCACCGCACCCGATTTTTGCTTCTCGGGTCCACTTAGATCCTGGTCCCCACTCTGTACGACTATGAACGATATTGTTGCGCTCGAACGTAGTAGGGAGTTCATAGTCAGAGAAATATTGACTTTGCTTGAATTCAAAGACCCACGGGCTCTCCAATGCCTCCTCCACTGTTATTCTCGCATCCGGAGTTAACGCTAATAGCGACTTCATGAATTCTAAAATCTCCATATGGTTCTTCTTGATCTCCGCTACGGAACTATTTCTCAATAGATCCACTGGGAAGTCAACGCTTCCCAAACCACAGTCATCAAAGCTCCATCCAACCTTCCTCCGAATTGAGGCCTTCTTGCATGTGCAATATCGAACCCCGCAACAGCAACCGGGAGGAGGGGAAGAAAAAAGCATGTCGTACAGGAGACACCCAAGCGTCCACATGTCCATAGCGCCGAGATCCCAAGAATATTCCCCTCCAGAATTCAATTTTCCACTAAATAACTCGATCTCTCGAATCGGGTAACAGACCCATTGATTTCTCTCGATGAAGACGTATTCGTCTTTAAATATAGAACGATCGAGGCCTCCTATCTTGACACGAATCGGATCCCAGGCTGCGAGGAGCACGTCCTATTCCATCATTACTAAATGCATTGCGATTGAGATTGATGCAGAAATGAAAAGATTATGAATACTTAAGGTTCTAGATTTGGGTGGAATATTCCTTGGGAGTGGAGCACAGATAATCCTTTTAACAGTTGCTGCGTGATTGATCTCGCGTTTATTTTTAGCCATGTAGCACCCATAATGTTGTCAAGGTCTCCGTCTTCGAAATATTCCACTGCGAAATCCGTGTTCCAATCGCGATCGCTTAGATACCATCCCAGGAACCTCGCAAAAAGGTCTTCTCGCTGAATTTCCCGTTTAGTAACCAGCTAGGAGATTGTTGAAACTAGAGGGAAAAACATACATCTGCCTTCAAAATTGCTTCTATTTCGTGAACAATACAATTCGGGATAGAAGTACCGAGCTGAACACCCGAGCCCAAAGTTCTAAACGTTTTAACCATTCTTTTATGTGCTCCATCGTCTGACACTTGTAAATTGACAGAACAGACGACGCCCTCTAGCTCTTCACCATAAGGTATATCGCAAGGTATATGATCAAAAAGGGATCTCTGGGGGTTCCAGAACTGACCCTGTCTCCCCCAACCTCGGCGGGAAGTCTATAGGACTCCGGTAAATCGCTGTGACGCTTCCATCGCATTCCCGGCTTGCGCAAGACTTTCCTGCGTATAGGAAAAGTATAGCTCATGGGAAATATAGATCGTCTGAGGGAGCTCAGGAAGACATGAGCGTACCTTATAGCTCCACCGAAAAGTCCGCGGCTCGAGGTTCGGGTGTATTGTTGGTGAGCTTGAGCTGCTTAGAGCCAGAGATTAGAGCCTACGTAGTTGAAGCGGGGTCCCCACGTTTGTGATCGGCTATTTGGACCACGCTGCAACATGCGGGATGAGGCTTACTGTCATGGAACAAAATTCTGTCGACAAGTATCATTACATGAACATCCACCCTGTGCAGCTTACATCGTTAAGGTTATCACAGCTAAGTGTATCCCCTTCATCTGGCGATGTTTTCCACCCACCAAAAATTAAAACGTTCTGCGGCTTTATTGACAGATCTCGTTGTCCCCTTCGTTAAATAATAGATCTCTCATACAAATTTCGTCCCTCTAATATATGGTGGCAGCATCATCAGAAGAAGGGGTGGGTAAGCTGGGGATGATTAAGAAAAAAAATTACCATTTAAAGCCTGAGTAGTGTCTAATGTCCAATATCACCAGATGTGCCAGACATGTACCAGATTTTACAAGGGAGCCGGACTGTGGCCGGATTATTTCGTGAAATCCGGCAACACCGGACCAGCGTCCAGATAATTCTATTGCCCGGTACTAGTACTATCCCATCGACACCAGGTGCACGTACTAGTTGATACAATCAATTTCAGTGTCTGATGGTCGAAGCTTTTTTTTTCCTTCACTTTTTTATTTTTTTTATTTTTTTTATTTTTTTTCAACTAAATACCTACAACACTGGCTACTATAAGAATATATATATGAAAAACGAAGTGAGGATCAATCGATACAATGTTAGTGGTACGGCTCCCAGGTCTTCTACAAAGGTATAAACCTTGGTGTTAAGAGTCCAGCGTGAGACAGATGTTCCCCCACAAACCCAAGAACAGTATCCACATACACCAGAACAGTATCCACACGGCCCTCGAGCTCAGGACCAGTGCCCATGTAATTATTCCCAGGACCAGTGTCCATATAATTCCCAGGACCAGTACAATGATTTCCAAGTTCCCCCACAAATAATTCAGGTAATCATAGTCCTTTGCCTCGGCGGCCTGGCTGGGCAGGCACTCCGGATCCATACTCATTGGTGGCGGGGATCCGGTCCCGATACATTTCTAGTAGCACTAGGTCTCGAAGATAGAATCCATTCACTTTCCAATGCTGAGGCTGCAGATATTCTCTTTCTCGGATCCGCTTGAATCAGGGACTTCAGTAGGTTCAAAACATCCACACTCGTGTCAGGCTCTAACAGATCCAACGGAAGATCCTCCGTTCCAGCACAAAACCCTATCAATAAACGAAAATCTAGCTCTTCTCCACCCAACGTATTTCCCCCCACCACTCCGCTGTACATGGTGTGTCCCGAGTTATTACCCCTATCACGGAATAGAAAAGGATTTACAGAGGTAAGCATCTCGTACAGGAGGATGCCGAGAGCCCACATATCGACGGCTTTGGTATATTGGCGACTCGGGGTGAAGCCTTTGATTTCACGCCGTGTCATTGGCATTATCTCGGGAGCGAAATACCCATGTGTCCCAATATTGGTCCGGAGCACGGTATTCATTTCGATCTTCGCGATGCCAAAGTCCGAAATTTTAACATGTAGAGGATTACAAGAAGCAATGAGAATATTCTACACATTATACCAACACTTAGTAATCAGGTTACAATGAAGGTTCTAGCGATATGATGCCCGGCAAGAGAGAAGGGGGATACCTTTGGCTTTAAATCCCGGTGGCATATGCCCAGTGAATGGAGGACTTCTAGTCCTGTTAGAAGTTGTTTTGTGATTTCCTTAGAATGGCTTTTGACCTCTAATCGATGATTTTGAATATACTGGCTCAGATCCCCGTCTTTGATGAACTCCATTGCGATGTATATGAAGGCTTTATCTTCATACCACCCTAGAAACTCCACAAACAGATCATTTCGCTATAATTAGAGAGTTAGTATCCTCTCAGATATTGGCGTGAATGTTGAAAATAACTTACATGGGCGACTTTCGACAATATCTCAACTTCCGTCAAAAACGTCCTGGTTGAGGGCGTGATAGAAGCCCACTTGTTGATAGTTTTAACGGCTCTAAAACTAGTCGGCCCACCCAGTGTTAATTCCTGCAACCACACAGTGCCAGATGCACCACTTCCTATAGCACGCCTTGCGCTCCACTCTTTCTCGTCATGAGTAACACCTTGATCACCATCAAATTTAGTCGGAAGCTTCCAGTTTGATGACATGGGGAATTATGTGATAGAATATTACAGTTGACTATTGGAATTCTTCGGCAGCAGGGGAGCTTCGAGTATGTTATACAACGATTGTTGCACCTCATGAATAACAGTGGAGAGACGTAAAGCAACTAATCAGAGAGCTTGGATTCGCTAGTTGCATAAAGTGCAGCTACGTGTTGATAGTGTAGAAATTTCCTAAAAGAGGGTTCTTCACACATACCTGCACACCCTGTAGGAATCTACATGTATTCACGAGTCGCTCAAATATGTAATTGCTATTGAAGTACCGTAAAATCCGAGAAATTTCGTTGCGCTATAGCACGGATAAATGCGCATATAGACCTATCAGAAGCAGTCTTTTAACGTCAATCTGCAAGCAGCTTTGGTGTAAAGGATCGCTGCTGCAACGCAATGAAATTTCTCAGATTTTACGGTAGAAATGAAATACAAGACTTTGCGACTGAATGTGCGCATCCTCTTGGACTTCAGGCCTGTTGTGAGTAGGTGCGTACCTACTCTACATACAACTCTACTTGGTAGCGTCGTCCATGAGATAAGTTGGCTCGACTCGAGCCCAAAGCTCGAATCTTAGTAGAGATATACATATGTCGACAATATCCTTTTATACAATATTGTATTAAACCCTAACCCTATGAACCTTGCGCGACTGCTACCTCAATAAAGGGTGTAGAAAGCATCGAAAGTCAACAATAGTGGCCATTGGAAGGTGGGGAGCCAGATGTATTGCCCGGGTTGGTTGGCATTTTCCTGCCTGTTGGCAAAGTGTGCTCTATTCTAATTGGTTAAACCCACCAACTATGTACAGAAATATCTGCGAGCCACGACAGTTCACATTATGCATCCAAGGTCTCAAACATTTTCGGGTCATCTTTCATGGCACCAAAGTTCTTTGCCTTCATACCAATGTTTAAAAAAAAGATCCGGGGCTATTCACTAAAGATTCGATTATCCATTCACGAAAAAATCTATGGATCACCCGAACACCTTATAACTATGTAGAACTACATAAAATTTAAATCCCAAATATCGAGTAGTTCAAATATCGAGTAGCTTAACTGTATAATATCAAAGTGTCCATTATATATTACATCGCCTTTCAGACAACAACTCTCCATCTAATTTTTCAACCCCCTTTTGATCGACAGGCTAGCGCTGCGTATATCCCAAAATGGCGATCAGACCCCCTGTTTAGAATCATCCTTGTGCTACGTGCGCAGCCCAATCATGATAGCCTTGTGAAACCCCGCTTTCCCCGACCACCCTTCTAGAGTCCTAATATATACCAGCAGGTATGCGCGCTTCCCCAGGATATTCAAGAGACCTTAAAACCTTTCAAGGATCACATAATGGCAGAAGCTTTCGGAGTCGCGCTCGCTATACCCGGCATTGTGGAACTCTGCATTAAGTTGGTGGAACTGTGTTGTTCGATGGATTTATGTGAGTGTACGTAGCTAACGAACATTGCTCGCAGATATGGCCAATCTTTAGTTCGAAAGTACCAAAACTACCAAAACTATGAAACTGAACTCGGCGACCTCATCGTCAAGTTCGAGGCTCACTGGACAAATTTGCGACTACAAATTGAGTTCTTCGCCAGAGTCCAAGATCGTGTCGAGGAGCGCCACCGTCTCCACTTCGAGAAGCTTGTCAGCGTGCTATCCAACAAGCTCAAGCAAATCGGACTCAAGATCGAGGGCATCGCTGTCCATGTCAAACGAGTGTTCCGGCGGGCCAAGTTTGCCATCATGGTGCAGAAGTCTCTCCAAGAAGCCATCTCCGAATTGGTGGAGTGGCAGGATCTGATACAGCCATTAATCTTTCATCTTGCGAAAACAGAGGACCCAGTTGTCGAACAGAGGATTAATGATGCGCCTGCGGAAGAAAATGTTGCGATATCAACGGTGCAGAACATGAGGCGAGCATTCAGCTCAGCAAAGCCTCCAACGAAGGAATCAGTGGTTTACCATGCTGATAATAATTTCTGGAACCCTGAACTCAGAAAGGCTATCCGATACAGCGCTGTTCAAATTCACCGGGTTCCTGGTCACAACGGCCGTCAACTTCTCATTGACGCCATCCCCTGCAGCGGGCGCGATCCGACCGCACGGCGTACAATCAAAGATATCCGTGAGCTCGTTCAAGTCCTCCGACTAGTGGATCCCATGACTTTCGGAATCCCCGTCTGCGCTGGGATTGTGAATGTCAAAGACGACAAAGGAACGCTCACCAAAATTGAAATGGTATTCAAGGTACCTGAGAACTTGACTAACCCTCGGTCCTTGCGTGATGTTTTGGTTTCACAGGATCATCAGAACGACCCTATCAACGTGCGGATGCAACTTGCGAAACGCCTTGCAAGAACGGTCTCATTTGTTCATTCAAGCAACTTCGTGCACAAGAACTTTCGTCCAGAAACAATAGTTATTTTCGAGTCTCGTGGACAATCAAACGATAAAATCTTCATCAACGAGGTTGGATTCCCGTTTTTGGTTGGGTTCCAAAAGTTCCGCTCCGCAGCTACTACGCATACCACGATGATGGGAGACTCGGCATGGGAAAAGAACCTTTACCGGCATCCAGAACGCCAAGGAGAGTTTCCGGATGAAGTTTATAGAATGCAGCATGATATTTATAGTCTTGGTGTTTGTCTATTAGAAATTGCGCTTTGGAAATCCTTTGTGTCATATGACGACTATGGTACCCCACGGAGATCAGAAAATTTCCAGTGCCTGGATAAGAGGTCTGGGAGGGAAGTGAAAGAGGAGCTTGTCAATATGGCTCGAGAACTAGTGCCGAAAACCTTGGGGAACCGATATGCGGAGGTGACGATAGCATGCTTGAAGTGCCTGGACGACGACGATGGTAATGATTTCGATCTTATGGACGAAGAGGGAATATCGGTTGGAGTTGGATATATTGAGCGGGTAAGTGTTCTAAATGTTATTCCGGCTTATCAGTGTATATATATCAGGCTAACATTGGTCCCAGATACTGGGAAAGTTGGAAGAAATAACCGTGTGATTACCAACAGGACTCAAAACCTTTTTCTTCTCCCTTGCGGCCTTTTCCATTGCTTTCTCCCTTGAGTGATTTGCCCCGAATATACCCTCTCTGTCAGATTTGGCTACCACCATCACGCATACCGACGTGATACCGCCATCTTTCTAGAGCACTGCTAGAAACTTAACAAGAAATGCCTGATGCAATTCCGGATAGTCCATTGTGGTAAGACTGGTTATGGTAGAAACGAAAAAGGGTTTAAGGGAGTCGTTGAGACGTTGGATTTATGTTTCTAAGCTAGTGCATGTATGAAGACTATTAAGCCTTATTTAGACAAGCCTAGCTGCCAAGCATGCGAGTGATGTTACATGAGTCAAGGACACCACACCCCAACGCTCAACGGAAATCATTCTGGGTGAGCCATGTTCGAGAATCCGTATCTATACGTGTACACATCTATAACACATTGGATGGCGTTTGATTTGTTTACTCATCCCAATCGCAATATTATACAAGTAAAGTGCGCTTTCTTCTTGCTTAAAGTCTCCCGCGATAATTTTCCCTCCTCCTAGATCATATTTGATTTAGTTCTCTCCCCCCTCTTGCTTTTCTTCTTTATCTTCTTACGTCTGGCGCCTTCCGCTAGTAACTGTGACTCGCCTATAGCCACCCCTTGCTCACTACTGCCAGAATCATCTGATAACCGACCCTTTCGGGTCTTGGTATTGACGAACAAAAGTCCTGGGACTCCCGGGCTTTTGTCTGCGATAGCTCGACTCTGGAGCTCGTCCGAAAGCGGTTCGCCACTGAGGGATTCATATGGCGACGAAGAGATCAGAATATAACTTGAACTATACGATCCTTGGGAAACTTTAGATCCATTATTTGCTTTTGTGCCGTTGTCGATTGAAGGCGTGGAAGTTTCTACATACTTGGTTGATCCTGGCGCATGATCTGTGTTTTCTTGCTCGTTCCTAAGGCGTTGTCTTTTGGATGATCTAGGTTCCGTTTCAATGGCTTGAGCTTTCTTGCTCTTCGAAACATCATCCTCCAGTCGCCTTTTGTTGCTTGGTGCATCCGGAGTCTGGGATGAAGATGCGTTGGAAAGTTGTGAATCCAAATCAGATGGATGAATAGAAGAGGAATGATGTTTATCTTGGAAAATGAGTCCTCCTCAAATTCATCTTGATATCCACGCTGACCTTCATCTCCATTATTTTTATCATCAACCTGCTCTTCATCTTCCGCTCCCTCTTCAATATCCGCAAAATCATGCTGCTGCCGAAGAGGGCTGAATCCTTGAGGTCTGTTTATTTCATTGGGGAGCATTTGGGAATAATTTACCTCGGGAGCAACCTTCCCTCGGTTAGAAACCATCTGCTGTCTGGATATTATTGTTTTTATGGGAGAGGAAAAAGACCGGCGTGGTGATGAGTATTGAGCTTCTTCCTTAATCGGGGTCATCAGTGGAAGAAGGCCGCTATAAAGCTGTACCAATGGGCGATTCTGATAACGATTCAGGTATATCTGATTAGGATCTATATATTCATCCTCATCCTCTTCATCCTCTTCAACTTCCGCCTCCTCCTCCTCCTCTTCTTCTTCTTCTTCTTCTTCTTCTTCTTCTTCCCCCTCCCCCTCTTCTTCCTCTTTCCTCTCCTCCAGGCTATGCTCACCTATTCCCCAACTCTCTCTTCGTTCGTTCCCCCCCCCCTCATCTTCTTCGTATTCTTCCTCTCCATCTCGGTCGAATCCCATCTCTTCGCCTTCATACTCCCCATCCCCAACCATCTCTTCATCCCCATCTTCATCCATTTCCTCTTCAGTCTCTTCATCGATAAAATCCTCCTCTTCCTCATCCGTCTCTTCCATTTCATACCCACTTCCCGCCACAGGAGACGAAATGACCTTGAAACCTCCACTCCTCAGTGGAATCTTTGTAGCGCTAATACTCCTTTCTGGTGAGGGAACAAATAATTCTTCTCCTCCACTTATAGGCCTGCCTCTGTTTTGAACATTCCTTCTCCCCTCCGATGACTGGGTTGCAATCGCTTCCGAATCACCTCCGACTGTTGGCCTTGAATCTTGTCGATTTGGGCTTACTCTCGCTCTTTGGGGACCTATTAACGTACAATCAACACCGCCGGTAAATAATGATTACGAGGTAACTTACACTTGATCCCCGCATTCACCCCCATAATACCTGTTTCACGAACGCCCCTCCTCCTCACTTCCGGCTTTACAACCTCCTTCAGTCTCTTATCTGGCCTTTCGCTCCAATAGTTGCCTGCAATCTCATCTACCACCCCCTTTACTTTTTTCATCTCTTCCCTGGCCGACGACGAATCCGAAGAAAGGCTCTTTAATAGTATCTTGTTCTCCCCGATTCTCTTTAATATCCGTTGTTGAAGACGGTCGGTATAGTTGCTTCGCTCCACCATGTACTGGTACACTTTTTCTACTGTGACCCGTCCTCCAATAGGCGGTGGAATGATAAGTTCAGGCGAAAGAATAGGTGGAGATGAGCAAAACTTGGAGATATCGATATCAATCTCCTCCTCTTCAAATACCTCTTCGTCCTCTTCGTCCTCCTCGAACACCCCCTCTTCTTCCAGATCCCCTTGCGCCTTTTCCACGTCCTCCTTCTCCAACTTGTATGTCGAGAGTAGCGCCGGACTCATTAGCAGTGTCGGACTCAACGGTATCACCCGCACCTTCACCTCCGTCAAAGCACGCTGCTGCGCCTTCCTAGCACTATACTTCCACATTGGCGACGAATTCTGGTCCTGCTCCTCAAACTCATATTTCTTGAATATAGGCGAATCCGGGTTCCTCGGCGGCGAATAATCTATCTAAACCACACCCCGCGCCCACACTCGCATTAACCAACCAATTATGGAGCCAACGTTAACTATCGTGTGTCATATCTACCTTCTCCTCGATCAGGTTCCAGACATGCTGCCGCGCCTTATGCGGGCACGCCAGACACACCTCCTCCCCCGAGTACTCCCCGCTGCGCATGCGCGAGTGGCGAGTATCCAGGAACTCGAAGCAGCCGCAGCGCTTGCAGTGGCTGGGGACGTGCTTCCGGCGCGTGAAGGGTGGTGAGATGGCCGACATTGGATTTTCTTTTCCGCAAAATTATTGCTTCTGCTTTTTTTGGATGGGAAAAACGGCTTTAATGATGGGCGGCGGTCTTTGTTTGGTAGGCGGCCCCTTTGTGGTGGTGCTGGTGTTTCATGGAGGAGACGGCCTTTGTTTGGAACAAAGAGATACTTACATGGAAATGACTAATGTGCTTTGAACCCCGAAGGCCCAAATTTGACCGAGGGTTGGGCTTGTCCGTTGGGGTTTCTGTGAGATGGAGGAAGGTAAACATGCATATCCCTAGATGAAACAGTTCGGTGATCTCGTAACTACATTCTGCTCGTATAGCGGATCCCCACTGGTTAAAAACTACGAGTGACATCTAATGACTCACTCGGTGACCATGGCGCGATCCATCCCATTCATCCATTCCCCTTGAGCGAGAGCCACAATCAATCAAGCATAATTAATTACGCCATGCAATTATATTAACGAAAACAGTTGACCCCTCAATATACGCAAGGGGTTGTTCTGCATATAGCCATGCCGGAAGCAGCTGTCTGTCTCACTCCTCACGGATGCGGGTTCGGGTTCCTTAGCATTGTTCCTACCACTCTACAACCGGTCGGTCATGGCATACCTATGTCTCCGGGGTCTATATATAAACCCGACCAGCTATAAACCTTCTTTTCTTCCCATGACGCTTCCAGTCGGACATAGTCACGATGCGGAAGACGTGGTAGTTTCTTCACCTTCTTTGTGTAGATTGGATTCGGCGCCTTCACGATGCTCTCTCTAGCCCGAAAGCAGTACGGGGCGTCTCTCTATAAGTACACAAGATGCTGTAACTATCTATCTTCCCGGCCAGGTATCATGACCCCAGAACAAATATATAGATATCCATAAACAATAATATACACTCTACCAGCCACCACCATGCGCTACCTCATGCCCCTCCTCCTTCTCCTCATCACCCTAACCTTCACCGCCTCTCTCCCGCACACCAAGCGCCAATCCTGCTCGTCACCCATCCAACGCCGCGCCTGGTCTCTCCCCCTCCCCCTCTCCCTTCTCCCCACCTATACTAACATATACACAACAGGCACACCCTCAGCACACGCGAGCGCCTAAGCTACCTCGACGCCGAACGCTGCCTCATGTCGCGACCCGCACAGACTGGCGCCGAGGGCGCAGTAAGCAGATACGACGACCTCCTCGGCGCCCACCAGCACCAGGCGGGGTGGATCCACAACACGGCATGGTTCCTGCCGTGGCACCGCCTGTACATGCGCGCGCATGAGCGCCTGCTGCGGGAGGAGTGTGGCTACGACGGGGCGCAACCGTGAGTACCGCTTTAGTTAGGTGACGTTTGATATAGGGCTGACAGGCAGGGTTAGGTATTGGGACGAACCGCGGGACGCAGGGCGGTTCTCGGGCGCGGACATTTTTGACGCGCGGGAAGGCTTCGGCGGCGGCGGGGAGGGCGAGGAGCAGTGTATCCGCGATGGTTCTATCCCCGATTCCCTGTTGGTTTTGGTTTGTGCTGACGGGAGAGAGAGGGAAGGCCCGTTTACGGACTACAGGCTGCACCAGGGCCCCGGCTACGCGTACGAGGAGCACTGCATCAGCCGCGCGATCGACGACAATGTCAGCAGCTATATCGGGCAGGACGCGATCGACGAGTGTCTGTCGCAGCCGGACTTCCAGCGTGCGTGGCCGTGCATAGAGACGAATCCGCATACGGCGGGGCATCGTGGAGTGGGTGGTGTGATGGTGAGTTGATCTCTCTCTCTCTCTTTCTTCTCTGTTCCGTTTCTTGATCATGTTGGGTGGTGGGTGTGTGCTGAGATGGGATGGAGGGGTGTAGGATAATGCGGTGTCGAGCCCGGGGGATCCATTGTTTTATTTGCACCACACGTTCCTGGACCGGGTGTGGTGGCAGTGGCAGGAGAGGGATTTACAGCGTAGGTTGGGGAGGTGACGGGCGGGGTGCCGAGCTTTGCGGAGGACGGGCACTGGGTGGGCATCAGTCTGGACGATGTGATGGATGTGCATGGCGTCATACCGAGTGTGCGCGTGAGGGAGCTGATGGATATCAGAGGACGGGCGCTGTGCTATGAGTATGAGTAGTGGCTACATGCAGTTGTGATTGCAATTGAATGAGTAATGGAATGGGAAGATATACCCGCGCGGCCGCTTTGAAGCCGCTCAAAGAACTGTGGCGAGTGATCTGGCAGCCAATGAGAGTCCGTTTTTTTGCAGTATTCAGATCAATTACCTCTTTTGTCTGAGCGGCTTCAATCCGGCCGCGCGAGTATTTCGTGATGTGACATGGGAATGGACATTGGCAAATGGTGTAACATCCAGAAGACAAATTGGAAGGAAGGGTTTCAAGTCTCACGCCATGATGATGTGTGCTTATCACGTCCTCGGATAAGCTGGTTGTGAAGAAGCAACTGGTTTGACTGTTACGAAACAAGAAAAGAAGAGAACCAGAGCACACGACTGACAAGATGGATCGGAAATATTTTATTCACAGAATTAACACTATTGATCTCAGTGAACGTAATACACAAAAGAGGAAAGTAAAAACAGAATAAGCAATAAACGATCATCTTGTCTTTTTCCTCAACTCTTCGCCAGCGGCCAAAAGACAATGAAAAAAGAAAATAGAACGAATAAGCTCATTCGCGTCAACTGGAGGCAGTGTAATACCAGTGACACAGTGGGATCATCGATGCGCAAGCACAGAGCAATGGTCCCGCGGCAAACAAAAATAAGTATAATCAATAAATGGTTCCATAGAACCGTTTCAGAGATTAAACTGAAAAGAACAGATACTACACTTGATCTAAGCCACTGTGAGGGGGTTAGCAGACATTCAATCCAAGAAAAAAAAGTCGCAATGATTGGGAAAAGAGGTGGTGATGATGAGAAAGCGAAATGTTGCGGGTAGACTTACAAAGGCAAAGAGAGCTGAGGATTTAAGAGGGAGCGGGGGAAGGTCCGTTATATATTATTCGAACACTTGGCGCCCAGCCATATTTGGCCGCTTGACCCTAAGCCCTCAGGGGGGGGGTTTTCCAAGATGAACACACTATCCCTGGCGCTGCAAGGAGCCTCATGGCGTTTTGGGCCTGCCGATCGTGTCCCAAGAGGGAAACTGGAACTCTCGGAAGAGATTGTAATTGATCATGATAGCAATGCCAATAGGAGGAGGTTAATATTAATTACATACTCATATATTGTAACTCAAAAACATAAAGCTCCAGAATGTCAAATCCACTTGGTTGAGGGGCAAGGAACACCCACAAAACCGACAAATTAAACCGCAAACCCAAACCGACCAAGAACGCCCCCCCCCCGGAGCAGCCAGATATACACACCCATTCCCAACAGCATCGTTGTTGCCCCCCCCCAGATGACGGTACTCGGCACCATGTGTCATCACTCGGTCCTCAAGCGCTAGCTAGCTGGCGAGTGGCTCAACATTTTTTTGGCCACTCGTCACCAACATTTATACGTAGGTATGTTTCGTGGCAACTTTAATATAGGGTCTAGTGGCAACCCTACCCCGGCTTTCCCTCTGACATGGATTTGTAGGGGGCGGGGGTTAAAGGATAGACCTACTGTACCCCGCTATCATGATCAAGCTTTCTGTGAATCATTGGCCATCACTCGCACGCCTCTGGGGGGCAACAGAAGCCGGGCGGTTTGTTGCGGATGACAGGAACTACCGGTTTGAGGCTATCCGATAAAACTACGACGAGGAATTGTGGAGGCCAATTGCGATCGCGAGTTGTTGGAGGGAATATTGGAATATTGGAAGGTATTCGGTGGGGTGGACTCCAAACCCTCCACCCCACTCCACCTCCTCGGCCACCTCTCCACCTCCTCCACTTCCCTCCACCTCTTCCTGCTCTTCCACCGACATCAACCTCCCACTCCATCCCCCAGTGCTCTTAGCTAAAATAGGACTATCGGGTCACGGAAAACCCACTTTCGCAATAATTCTCCCCATCACTGTACCAGGGTAAGAACCAAAAAATGCAAGTGACGGAAACAGTAATGATTTGTACAGCTATCGGTAGAATTATTGCGTTGAAAAATTGCCCTGCTCTCGGCGTGATCGTCGGCCCCTGTCTCCGCAATAATTCTACCGATAGCTGTAGACGCCTTCCCGGGCCATTCGAACACCCCCCTCACTCGAACAGTTGATGCTTATTGGTGGAGAAGCCCAATTCAAGAGGTACAGAAACCGGTTACAGCGCAGATATTTTCTTTTTTAAGTTAACTGTTCGAGTGAGGGGGGTGTTCGAGTGGCCCGGGAAGGCGTCTATACGAGTACCTACTTCTTCTATTACCTGACAGTTATTGCTCTATATCTAGGGTTAAGGATATATCCGCACTCGATTCCCATTGGTGGTTATCCCTCACGGTCAAATTCGCAGCTTGCCTCTTTAGCCCTTCTTGGCAACAAACACTGAATTTGATTGGCTCTCTTACCCAACGAGGTGCATGCACCGTGTCATCCGTCTAAGGAATTAAACTTGTATGGGAGATCTATTAATTGATAAGAGACGGATACGAAGTGATCCGCGACCTGTAAGGCAGCAGCCAACATCTGGACTGCTCACGTGCAACCTCCTGGTGTTGTGAATATCGATCCCGATGCGATAACAGACGATACTTACCTGGTCACCACACACCCAAATCTGGTTTGTGGAATGTGACCTAGGAACAATTTCTCAGTGTCTGGAGGTATCCCGCCGTGAGGACTTCTTGCGTAGCTCGGCACTTGTCGCCATGTCGGCGCAAAAGCCACAGTTCGCCACAGGGGATATGCGGAAACGGGGGTTTGTCATCCTGCATTACAGATCTTCCTCTACTCAATGGCGGAATTTACTTTATTGGGATATCAATGCCTAGGTACATGTAGTACTTGAGCTTAAAATCGTAGCCCTATAGTCAGAAATAGACAGTTCAAAGTTCCCGAAAATAGAAATGTAGGTCTTGACCTGATATTGCGAGTGGTTAAAAATATTTATTGTATGTGCGACGAGGGAACCATTCACTAGCCATCCCATCCATAGGGCTCCTTCATCCCCCGTCTCCCATCCTCCTTTGAAAAAACATTCGTCCATCATACAATGCCAAAGAAAGGAAAAATCAACTCATTATCTATAGGCTTGTCTATCTGCTCCAAAATCAACTTGAAAGAATAATCCTTTGCCAGGAGTTGGTACTGCGGCAATACCCCTGGTCCGCACGAGCCCGTTCCCAGCCCATGATGGTCAACATCAACCCTCAAAATCGTCTCGTTCAATCTCGTCAATTCGTGGGGATGCTTGGATTTCTCCAAATCCTCAGTTGTGTAGTGTAAAGCTGTAAAGTCTCCGGGCTTCTCAGTGAAAATAACCTTGAGTCCATATTCCTCTTCGCATTTGACAGCAAGCCACTTGGTGTCCGTCCTGTTCCCGCTCTCCTGGGGAAACTCGTAATTTGTATACATGTCGTCAACAGTCTTGTGCCAGATGCCCATTGCGTTTGCGTCCTTCTTGTCCTTGTAGGACTCTCCTGGCCCACGGCCATACCAGCTGACATCCTCCAGCTCGGGAGGAAGGACAAATGTTAGACCACAGCGAGCAAAAGTTTTCGGATGATTGCCCTCTAGCTTAGTTGTCACCGTGAGCTCAATGGACCCGTCACGGAAGGTATAATCATAAATCGTCGAGACCCCCCAGTCGAGAACTGGAGGGGCAATACGTGCGTATACTCTACAGATAATTGCAGCCTCCCCGTCGACATGATTCCATTCCACCTTCTGCACGGATTGCTTTACGGCGTGGAGCATGAAATCTCGCCAATGCTTTGCGTCTCCCCCGTGACCCAGATCGTTGTCGGTCGGCGCGCGGTAAAAGCTGAGGACAGGACCCTTCTGTATCAACTTACCGGAGACCGAGGACGCCCACCTGAGATCCCCGGTTACCATGTTCAGCTCGAACCTGGATTTGCTGCCCTTGACGAGCAAGAGACGATCATCCCCACGTTGCTGCACCTTTACGATCCCCTCCACCGGGAGTCTCCTTCCTAGTTTCGCGGGCGGGACGGACCGAATAAGGGCCTCAGACCAGGCGACAAGGTGTCCAGCCTTGGCCCACGTGGTGTCCTGCTTGAGGTAAAAGTGAATTGTGATGGAGATTTCATTGCTGTTTAGTTCATTTTGGCGAAATGGCAAGACAACCTCGGAGGTCTCTCCCGAATCGATGACCGGCGATGACAGTCCCCCCTCGAATATCGGATTGCCTGCAACTTTCACCGCCCATACACACGCCAGGTGTTCGGTAACCTGCCAGTCGTAGCAGTTTGTGATTCTCGCCTTCAGCCCGTCAATCTCAATCAGCACAGGTTGTATCTGTCTCTTATACTCGGCCAGCCCGGGGGTTGCACTGTGGTCGGAGAACACCAAACCGTCCATGACGAAATTCCCGTTATTCGGCTCGTCACCAAAGTCACCACCGTACGCATAGTACTCTTGTCCATCCTCTGTCTGCGTCAAGAGACCGTGGTTCGACCATTCCCAGATGAAGCCACCCTGGAGTTGGGGATACTTCCTGAACGCCTCAACGTACTCCTTAATCGCCCCGGGGCCGTTACCCATAGCGTGACCGTATTCACACAGAATCAACGGTTTGTCGCCCCCCTTCTCGGCGAAATCAATACACTTTTGAACAGTGGGGTACATCCAGCTAAAAACGTCCGCAGTCTTCGCTTCGACATCACCCTCGTAGTGGATCAGCCGAGATGGATCAAACTCTTTAATCCATGCATACATTGCTTCGTGATTTTGTCCGTAAAACGACTCATTACCCAGAGACCACATGAAAACACACGCCCTATTTTTGTCACGATGCACCATCTGCTTTGCACGGTCCAGATAGGACTCTTTCCACTCTGGGTTATCTGATGTCCATCGGGCAGCATTGGCATAAGTGATTGCTTTCTTCTCCTCGAAGGTCATGTTGTCTCCCGCCTTACCGAGTTTCAGGACTTCGACAGAATCAAAGCCGTGGCACTCGAGATCTGCCTCATCAATGACATACAAACCATGATAGTCGCAAAGATCATAGATGCGCGTGTCATTGGGTTGGTGGGAGAGTCGGAGAGCGTTGATATTGTGCTGTTTCATCAGGATTATATCGTGTTCCATGAGCTCGTATGATACAGTCCTCCCACCGGTCGGGTCGTGTTCATGTCGATTGACACCAAAGAGCTTGATCGCTTTGCCATTGAAAAGCATAAGACCATCCTTTATCTCAACGCGCTTGAACCCGATCTTATGGGCCACCACCTGTGCGCCCTCAAGCGAGAGAACGAAATGGTAGAGATAAGGCGTCTCCGCGGTCCACTTCTTTGGGTTCTTGATATTGACAGAGAATTCTATCGGTTCAGCGGTGTTATCCGTGATCTCCTGCGTGACATCAACTACAACGGTTTTCGCATCCGTCCCAAGGAGGCGGAGTCGTAATTTCTTGCCTTTCCTCTCACTTCCGCCCGTGGTGACAGCACATTTGAGGACTGCATGCTGATAATTGTCGTCGAGTTCGGTCCTGGCGTGGAAGTCGTCGATCCGGGAGAGGTTGGGGAAAGCGATGAGATAGACGTCACGGAAAATCCCCGAGAGCCACCATTGGTCTTGGTCTTCGATATACCTGCGGGTAAATCATTGTCAGCATTGGGGGTGGCGGGGAAACCGAAAGATGTCTTAAGATAACGGATCCAATGAAAGGGACAATGATAGAGAGCCAATTTCAACCCAGCCAATCCTTTAGAATCAGGTCTCGGAATCCCTAGATCGGAAGCGAGTGATTACAATTGAGATGAGAGACAAAAGAGCCATCAACACGACTAATAGAAACCACACTTATGTAGGTGAATAACGTACGAGTGATCGCAGAACCGGTATACTCTCACAGTAATCCAATTACTTCCGTATCTCACATAGTCGGAAACATCGAACTCTGCCGGATTCCTGCTTCCTTGACTGTATCCAACAGCTTTGCCATTGACCCAGACGTGGAACGCGCTGTCAACACCTTCAAACCTCAACCGGTACTGGAAGTCTTCAGTCTCTCCTCTTGGAACCTCGAATTCGCGCTGGTATGTCCCGGTCTCGTTTATTTCCGCAGGAACATTTGGAGGGTCTACGGGGAAGGGATATACAATGTTGGTATAATGGGGCGCTCCGTAGCCTTGGAGTTGCCACATTCCCGGCACCGTAATATCGTTCCATTCTCTGATGTCTCGGTCTTCTACATCGGTCTCGGTTTCGGTCTTGAGTTTCTCGGCCCCTTTCGGGATTTCGGGGGCCTCGAATGGATTCGGGGTATGATGGAATCGCCAGGTGCCCGACAAGGACTGTACGAAAGATGATTGGAGGTGGTCATAAGTTAATGCTGTTTCTTCACTCTGGAACGGGAAGAAATGTGAGCGGGGTGGTAAGGTATTGCGGTGGATGATGCTAAGGTTGTTCCAGTCGGGTTTCGAAGCAGGAAAAACCGAGGGAGTGGGCGAGGGCCCCATGGCGACGGCACTAAAACGGTGGGAAGGGTAATTTTGGAGGGTGGAACAAATGATGCAAGCTGCCTAAAAAAAAACCTAAGGGAACGCGGGCACAGGTACTTTTATAGAGCATCGCTCCAAGTGTGTTCTGTGCACTCTTGGGGGTTTACATACACTAACTCACATAGCTAATTTTTGGGGGCACCTAACCTATGTTTCCGCTGTGGAAGTTATACCAATCGATGAGGTTATGCAGGAAGATACTCACACACCCACGGAATTTGACGGAGGTTCAGTCCGGTTGAGAGAACGATAGATATATATCAAGGACTGATTTGATAGATAGTAAACAGACGTCAGTGGTCCGGGCGATCCCACGCTTGAACCACGATGTAAAACGTAACGATCCAGCCTGGGAATACCATTCCTAGCTGGGGAACGAGAATTTGGTGTAGGGAAAGGAAGGGCCTACAAGGTGGTCTACCGGTCAGTTGATACTTCGAAATTAGGAATAGAAGGCAACTAGCTCTCCCCTAAGGAGACCTCTAACCTTCCGAGAGCTGTCTGCCTCAAGGCTGAAAGTTAGGTGTGTTGTGACAGCAGTTATCAACCGGTTTTGAATAACACTCCGGCTATGTTGGATAGGATTGGGTTTTTCAAAAGTCCACGAGTACACCGTGCACCATTTATGAGCCCCGCCCAATACCTCGAGGTTATGTATTATATACTACGTACCCAAGCGCCTACTTAGCACAGAAGTAGTACCTGCAATTAGGAAGCTAAGTCTAGGTCTCGGCGAATTTTTCTGACCGCAAGCTTTCATTTTCACCAAGGGTTCAGACATAAAGTCAAGTACCCCGTTAGCCGGGCCTTACCAATAAAAAGAGGGAGTGATATTCCGGCTAGTGGCTTTCCTTTTTTGGGACTTTGATCTTGGCAATACCAACCAATCAAAAAAGCACTGACCAATCTAGAAGCCCTAACCCACAACACCACTGATAAATCTCACGATAAAGATTTGACTGCTCTAACTGAATTTCAATCCTCTTGGAGAGGAGTAAATCAGAGCGCTTTCACGGGGGAATAAATAATCAATTTTGAAAGCTCCTATTTGCCACCCAGCAAAGCGGTGCCCGCAATCAGCAGTTTTATGCCCATCTTGTATGTAGATTGGCATGCAACCATCAGTCTTTCTACCAGAACTTGCAAAATTGATGGTTGGTCTAAAAATCTCTATTCAGGGATTTCGTGGACTTGAGCAGATTACACCTCCACGTGAGCTGCTTGTTGTACCTTCAAAGGTTTCCGTTAGCCGGCGAGGTTGAGAAATTATTGTAGTGCAAGCTCTGACAGGGTATCCTTTTAAGGACGAGACACCCGGACGTCGATCAGGTTCCCTTAGTTATCCGCCACCAATTCTTTAAATTTATGGGGCCCCTGTAAACGCCGCCTTACAGCCGTCTAGACAGCTTCGGTTTCCACGGGCGATTTCGTTTTCTTATTGGTGGGAAACACTGGACGACATCGGTAGAACTATTAGCCAATCGACGACTATCAATCAATTGGCGCTTCTTTGGGTGGATTGCAATTCGGTCATTGAGCCTTTAGATGGAGGTACCGCGTGTAGCGGAAAACGGCCAACTGCACTGTTTTAACACGGAGCCCTGAATTGTTGAATCATCTTTGGTTGACATGCCTAACTATAAAAGAAAAAGGTCGCTGACCCAATTAAGAGAAGCAGTAGTCGAGTGCTTAGGCATGTCTCAGCTCAAAAATTACTTGCTAACATCTTCAGACGATCTTATTTGAAACATGACTAAATTATGGTAGATGATACCTTTTGGAGATCCGAAAAAATCTTTTGGATCATTTCTCAGTATTTTCCCGCTCGTCATATTTCTCATGCCTCTCATCTCGCAAGATCACAACTCTCTACAGTCAATTCTGTATTGCCAGATACCATCCTTTTTTACACCACTGTAACTCGGACTTGTTGGATTTTTTTTCTGATCAGTCACAGACACGTTGGATGATGTGGCAGATATTAATTACTCACATCCTCTGGTCCAGAGGAGAGGGTGATTATTTCGATCCTGTGTGCTACTACTCCTTTTCTTTTCAGTGGCTTGCCCAATATCGCTCCTCGAAATCTCACTCATGTCGCATGTTTTATGTTGCTGAATACGGGGACACGTCTTTTGATTTCTCTCTTAAACCTTCGGTTATTCCGCTGAACCTGCATTCCAGATACGGCGACATCGTGAATCTCAAAGGTCTTAGACAGTTGCTGCGGTCGGGCTCCTACTCTGACACCCCTCTTTTTCCGCTATTGGCCCTTTCTACGGGCTATGGCCTACGGAAAAACCTGATTTCCCCTCGTTCATTAGCTTTTACTTTTTACCCTTGCCTTATGCTTCAAACCGACTATTTCAAACTGTTAGGGTGAGGCAGGCTCATCTATGCTTGCATGATTCTTACCCCATTGTGCTTCCGTCTTCTTCCTCGAGATTCTCCTACGGACCGAAAACCCGTAACCTTGAGTGACCCTTTCCTTCTCTTTCATCCTGTAAGTCCTCTTGACGTTATGGATCAGATTTTTTTACTCTTTTTATCCTGATGATCTTATCCATTCTTGTTTCGTCGGACTAGATTTCGTTAGATCCTTATTCGGTCGCCCAGTCAGTGAAAGTAAACACGCCAACACACCATCTACGGTCAACGGCCATTTCTCCCTTTCTTACCCTACAGGACCCCTAGGATCCTTCGGTGTCCACCAGTAATCCATTCCAGCACGTCACGGCCTTAGATTCCTGCCCGCCTTCCTCACTGCTCACAATCCTGCGTTGATTCAATTCGAATCCATCATCCATCATCCATTCAGTCCATGGAACCGGGTCCGCGGTCTACTCGACGTTCCATCCATCACGAACCCCATCGCCCCGGGACGCCTGATTCCTACGTCGACAGCCTGAAGAAGGACACCGAATACTAACGGCACTGTTTTTCAGTGTAACTAGATCATTTCGACGAAAAAGATGACAGAATTAGAAATCTCTTCTTCCCGCGGGACCGAAAGAGTTGTAGGGGATTGATGTCTGCTGACTTTGTTCCAGCGTCTACAGTTAGGGGGCACGACAGTACTCATCGTGAGATTTACACCTCGTCCCATGGGCCTATATTACGAATTCAGTCATCTACTTTATTTTTCCAAGTCTAACAAACCATTACAAGCAGTTTTAAACCACGATCCCTATCGCTTCCCTTTACGAGTAATATTCAGGTCATGGTGTCGTAGAATACCAATTTATCACTCGTTTTTTTTTTCGTTGCTACCTCTACAATCCTTACGCGACTATTCCGCTTTTGCCTCGGTCACATGGCCGGTACGCACGGCCCAGGCCATATGTTTGGAGAGTCACGAAATCTGACTCGACCTACGTACTGCCGGCTAACGGTGATACCATGTGTCAATGACAATATTGTATGTAGTTTGGTCTGGTTGAATTGCAATCCAACCATGAAGAATGGTTGTGTGGTATCGAATCGTTTCAAGCCAAGTGTGCCGAAGTTTCATTGATTGTACAAGAGTGATGCTCTTGCTATAATCTTCGCTGGTGCTGTAATCTAGAGCCATGATCTTCATCTTTGGGTCTTCGGCCTTTACCCGACTGGCCCTTCTGTCATGATCAGCAAGGCATATGCTGCTTTACTCAATTGCCCGATGCCAAGGCCATAATGACGTCCTTCTTCATCAGAATGGCTTAGTTGTCGAAGGCCTTTAACAAGATGACAATCCCCCCCAAGGTGCCTCTCGGTTTGTGAATAGCATACCCATATGTAGAGAAATAATCAATTGAGATCGTGCCAAGAAGCGGCCACGTCGCAAAAAAAAAAAAGGCTCCGAAATCCAGCCTTAATAGTGTGGTGCCTGAGCATCATGATGGGCCATTATTATAACCGCCTCGTCATGTTAAGAGAAGCTGTTGAGGTATGTCTCAAGGCACACCGGAACAACAAGCGATATGTCTCGATGGTCTTCTGGAAATCCCATCGGGCAACTGCTCGTTGAAGAGTAGAATGCTTCCTCGGTCTGATCTACCCTTGGTAATGCGTTTTCTTTCCACCCACCGAGGACATGAAAATTGTGAAATACGATTCTGACCCATGGGTGTTTTACACTCACATCGAAAAAAAACTCTCTCTCCCCTCTGAACCTCCGTACCGTACCTGAGGGAATGAGAAAGGTGGGGAAAAAAAGAAAGGGAAAAAAGAAAAAAGGGAAGGGGGACCGATCCTCGGGACTAAACCTCAAGCTCTTGACGCACACGTGTGTGCCGTGTGCTTTTCTACCCATATCCGTAGAGCTATATACAAACATGGCGTCGCCAGTTATTTGCTTTTCAGCTAGTTAGTTAGGCGCGTACGTACAGTCGCTCACCTACTGACGGCGGATCCTGTCTGATGGTGCTGTTTGCAGTAATTTGCCTTGGCGTCCAAAACCTAACTCTTTTATTGGCCTCAAATCCCTGACCGTCAGACAGGATCCGCCTTCACCCCGTGAGTGACTGTAGGTACTGATGCTTACTTCCTGTAGTTACATCATTAGCTTTTGAGTATCGCCCTACATAAATATATGATGTATGTGATGAAGCTAAATATTACCATCCTACCTACATATCTGGAGAATTTTCCAACAGGAACGCCGGGGGCACTGATCGAGAGAATTGCTACAGACTGTCCGATTGTACTAAAATCCCGATTACCAGTGCGGTGGTCAGTGGCCCAGTGAGAAGTAGTTGTGATTATGAGTGTAGGCTGCATTTACCCCGCTGGCTAGAGGGGGGAGGGGGGAGAGTTTGGAGATACGCATATTCTATCATGAGACGAATTTTTTGATGGGAAGGGAAAGGCATTGGATTGATTGTGGGACAGTGGGATCAATGCCCTGCCCAGAGTGTGCGGACCCGGCACAGTCTGGTGTAATAGGTCTTTTTCGTTTGATGACTTATTTTCTCGGAGATATTTGAGACTTTGCGCTGAGGGATCCGGAGTCTTTTTTGATAGACTTGGCATTAATTAGCCAAGGAATTATAGATCCAGCCTTGCATTTGACTCCCAGAGAGAGGGCTAATCGCGAAATTAGACCTCCACTCCTTCTATCCTTTGTAGAATGACTAAATGGTGGCCTTTTTTTTATGAGGATTCTTTTATGATAAAATTCAGATGCAACTACACCTTCTATTAAATCCACAATAATCTAGCTAAGGTATTACTCGCGCGGCCGGATTGAAGCCGCTCAGACAAAAGAGGTAATTGATCTGAATACTGCAAAAACACGAACTCTCATTGGCTGCCAGATCACTCGCCACAGTTCTTTGAGCGGCTTCAAACCGGCCGCGCGAGTAGTTGTAGAAAAGGTTAAATTTTCTCTCTCACCAAAAACTGGGTAACGCCGATCAGTGGCAAGCAACATCTGGCTCCATTTTTGACCACCCCAGATCAACGAAAATCCATATAATTCCAAGCTGGATGCATCCAGCGCAAAGTCTCTATCAGCGTCGGAGGGCTCTCGGGGGGTTCTCAAGGAGGCTTTTCGGGGGTATTTTGTATGGGATTAGCACACCCCGAGAACACCCCGAACTAGCGTAAAATTTGAACACTAGCGGAGGTTTTCTAAACCTTAAATACCCCCGGCGAACATTAAATCTTTGCGAGTTTGCCATACAAAATCAAGTATTTCGGGGTCTTAAAATCTCTCCGAACCCCTAGACTCTCCGAGAGCCCTCGGGGTCACTCGGACATTTCTCGGAGGAAGTTCCGAAAACTTATTACACCAGACTGTGCCCATGGTGTCACACATAACATAGTCTGGGAATGAGACTAACCCTGCACTACTGCAGCAGAGTATCGATTTTCAAAGGTGGTCTACCGGAATACAGCGTTTCTGCGCGAAACCCTAACCCTGCATAACAAACAGCCCACACAAACAAAATTAGGGTCGAATTGGGCTAAAGGATTATGACTGCAGGGAGTAATTTTATGTGGCATGGAAAAAATTCGGTTAACTGAGTGAGGGGTAAGAATTATATCCTGATTCCATAAAATTATGGAACAAAGTGAAGAATTGGAAGGGAGGTTAAGGAAAGACGCAATTAACAGGATGGATTGAAGGGGTCCACAAATTGAAAGTCTAGAAGAATGTTATTAACTGGGGGAGCTGAAAGAGCCATTGATTATGCGAATGAGAAGTGGGGGCCGCGATTAAGCTAGGCCCCATCAATTGATAGCCTCTAAGGAATTAATTCTATCTATTCAAGTACGGGGGTTGCAATGGGTCACTGTCTACATATGTTTGGCCGCTCGTGACTGAATGATTCTTTAAGTAATTCTCGTACGATGTTTTCGGATTAAACCCAATCATAACTAGGGTGACGAGACATCCGAGTGATAAAACGTGACGTGCGGGGTAGCGACTCGGCAGGCAGCGGGCCGTCTTCGCTTTTCTTTCTTTCTTTCTTTCTTAGGTGGGGCCCGTGGGGGGTGAGGTAGGGCGCCCGCCAGTGCCGAATTCGGGGAGACGGGTAAATGGGTGAATTACCGAGACTCCCCGTGGACTTCAGGCAATCGGAATGATGGCTTTTGCGCAGTACCTGGATGTAGGTAGATAGCCGGTACTCCAATAAACAGCTGAACACGTAGGTACACTGTCGATGTACTGTCCCCTTAACATCACAAATCACTATTTACATCCTCTACACACACCTGCAAGTACATTGTTCTTTGCTCGCTTACTCTCTTGTGTAATAATTCAAAGGTCGAGATAGACAGCAGCATCTGATAGGTCTTATTCTACAAGTACATAGCTAGTATCCACCATGCGCGTTGCTACAGCTACTATTAGCATAGCGCTACGGAGGATCCCGCTTGATAAGGATTGGCGCGTCAAACAATCCTCCAACATTAAGCCCATCGCGACCTCCTACATACCAGTGGCCCAGTTCCCTACTGTAGTGCATCTGGATCTGCTCGCAAACAACTTAATTCCAGACCCCTACATTGGCACCAACGAGGTTACTATCTCCAACCTTCAATTCTCCTTCTCATCCCCTCTCTCCCGCAAAGAAACACACAGCGGCTAACAAACAGCTCGACACAAAATAGCTCGAATGTCTCTGGATAAATTCCGCCTCGTGGACCTACCGCACGCACTTCACACCTCCAAAGTTGCAGTCAAATGAATCGCTCACACTGGTCTTCGAGGGCCTCGACACAGCCGTCGATGTGTACCTCAACTCGGAACATCTCTTCTTCTCGAAGAATATGTTTATCCCACAGAGTGTGGATATATCTGCACAAGCTTTGACTGCGGGGCATTTCGTATTAGAGCTTCGCTTTCGCGCCCCGAGCGAGTTTGCCAAGGAGGAGGAACAAAGGGTGGGCTATAAAAAGGCAGAGACAGATGATACTTTGATGGGAGGCCATGAGAGAATGTATGTTGAATACTGTCTTGGCAGGCAATTGGGTTTGAATTGACCTTCTCAGGTATCTCCGGAAAGCACAATACCACTGGGGATGGGATTGGGGCCCGGCATTGGCTTCGACAGGGCCATATCTACCGATTTACTTAGAAGTGTATCAGGCACGGATCAATAACTTGAAGATCCTCCCATCAGTAAACGAGTCGCTAGATAAAGCTACCGTTCAAATCTCAGCGCATATCGAAGGTCATTCCGGCAGATTCGTTCTTGTGGAAATTGCAAATCCAGAGGGCGGAGTAGCGCTTAGAAAGATATTCCCTGTGAATGTTGTTGGGGCCTTTGAGCAGGCAGTGGAGCTTGAAAGTCCGGAGCTTTGGTGGCCACATACACATGGTAAACAGCCATTGTATCAGGTGAAAGTGGAGCTATTCAACACAGTACAGGTAATTATATAATGTTGGTCCCAAGTTCTTTCAGAACACATGTGTTAATTTGTTTTAGTCTCTTCACTCTATCACCACTGCCCTGGGACTTCGCCGCCTCCGACTGCAACAAACCTCCCTCAATTCTGTCCCAGGCACCTCTTTTACCTTCGTTATCAATAATGTTCCCATATTTGCCTCTGGCTCAAACTGGATTCCCGGTGACTTCTTTCTGCCACGTTTTACACACCCCCAGGACGAACCCACCGAAAGCAATTACAGGCGCTGGCTCTCTCTGGCTAAATCCGGCAATCAGAACACCATCCGCGTTTGGGGTGGCGGTATCGTTGAAACAACTGACTTTTACAATCTCTGCGACGAGCTCGGACTCCTCGTGTGGCAGGATCTCCTATTCGCATGCGGTAACTACCCGGCAAACGACGAGTTCTGCGCCTCTGTCAAACAGGAAACTATCACTCAAATAAGCAGAGTTGTGCATCACCCAAGTTTGGTTCTGATCTGTGGAGATAACGAGGATATGTGGCTGGCAGGCTTGTATGGCTGGGATTATAATCCGGAGGATAAGAAGGTTGAGAACTGGATGCGTGGGAACTTTCAGCATCGAAGGACGCTAGAAATAGTTCTTCCCGAGGCATTGAAGGAGGTTGGTATAGAAAACACAGGAATCGAGTATTGGACGAGTAGTCCCTTCAGTGGAGAGGGTGTAGAGGCGAATTCGAGGATTAAGGGAGATGTGCATATATGGGGTATATCTCACTCCACTCCTTGAAGTTCACAGAAAACTAATAATACTGGTAGACGTCTGGCATGGGCCTATGTATCCGTACCAATCCTACCTACCTCTTATGGGCCGTTTTGTCTCCGAATTCGGCTTCGAATCCCCGCCCTCAATGCGTACCATAACCAGCATGCTCCCCAGCCCTTCGACCCGGCAATCCCAATCGCTCGAGTTCCTCGCCCATGATAAAGGTCCCGGTGCGGAGCGCCGAGCAACAATGTACATGGGCGAGAACTTTCGCTTCGGCATGGACCCGCTGGAGGACTATGTCTACTGCGCACAACTACTCCAAGCCGAGGCCGTCAGCTTTGCCGTCCGGAACTGGCGGAGGAATTTCAAAGGTCCCGGAGAAGAACTCTGTTCCGGCGCACTGGTATGGCAGTTAAACGATAAGTAAGCCCTCCGCAATCTCACTCTTCCTATAAATGGTACTAAAAGCAACCAGCTGGCCGGCGATATCATGGGCTATTGTGGATTACTATCTCCGCCCCAAGCCCGCTTTCTTCACACTAAAGCGCGCACTGGCACACTTCGACATTGGCCTCGCACGAAACACAACCAAGCGTAATATCCCCATCCTACGCTCATACCCCGAGGAACAGGCCTTGCTGTCAATATGGGGTGTCTCCAACTCGCATGAGTACACAACAGTTCGGATCACACTCGCTGCATTCGACATTGCTACCGGCGCTAGCGTTGCCCTCGACACGCCTCACATCACTGGCACACTCAAGCCCAACCGCAGCACCGAGTTCGGAGAAGTCAATATCCCCGCCGCAGCAACAACAGTGGTTGCAGCATACCTCCACGACCGGAACGGGGAGACGCTGCTCGCCCGGTTTGTCTCCTGGCCTGAACCACTCAAATTTGTTCGTTTCAGCGGCGATCCCGGTGTGACGGTTAAGGTAAAGAATGGTGAGGATAGGGTTGTTGTGACGACGAGGGCACCGGTGAAGGGGTTGGTACTGGAGGCGGGTGAAGAGGGCGACTGGACGGATAATTGTGTGGATGTTGTGCCTGGGGAGGAGCTTGTAGTTGGGGTTAAGAGACTGGGTGATAAGGATGTGAAGGGGAGTTGGCTTTGTGACTGGGAGGGGAGGAGGGGTGTGGAGGCTGTGAGAGAGTAGGGGCGCGTTAGGGGTGTAAGTGGATGTACTGTGAGGAAGAATCAGTGGTTCTAGCTGTAGATGACCTCTAGAGGGCTATGAAGACTTGTATGTTGGATTCTTTTATTCAGGGATAAAAATAACTTTTGTACCCTAAACGTAGAATAAGAATATCGAGTTGTTATGTCATCCTGTCAACCTTAAAACGCGCCCAATAATTGGACCGATATAAGTTAGGGATCTGCAGTAGTAGGCGCATTTTGGCTAAGCACTAAATTGATACTTTAAACCTAACCCTGAGTTTGTGGCCTAATCCGGCTAGTAGGTAATCGGGGGTCAACCTACCCTAAGTGCAGCGACGGATAAGAAGTGATGGAACGCCTCATCAACAAATACCGTATGTTGGTGGCATTCTACCTAAAACAGGGCTTGGGATTAGACGTCTTGACGTCTTGTCTCGTTGAGAATATTAGTGCCACATCTCGCTGGAAGGCGCGATATAAACCGGAGATTACTCGTAGTACCTACCTACGCATCCAATTATATATATATATTTTGTCGCCACTCAGCTTGGTATATAAAACAACAGGTTCGGAGCCTGCCCGGAAGGCTACATACATATGTAGTACATGAACGCTACATACCCAACCGCCAAATCAATAGTCACGTCCATGACTACCAGCAACATGACTACCAGCACCACCTCTATATCTGACCTCGATCACTCCATATTCCGCCATCCGGCGAATTATCACAGATACATGCCAACCACTAGTTTTCTCATACTCAAAAGCATCTACACTCCTGAAGCCAAACCAAAAGAACATGCTGCGCCCAGAAGACATTTCAACATGCTCGAAGGCTACGACAATGTTGCAACATCTGCACCTCCTAAATACCAATTCTTCAGCGAACCCACCGAGTGCTAATGCGTATAGATTATCGGATTAGTGTAAGATAGACTTAGTCGACAAGATCTTGCACAGCCTTCCGGAGTGTTATGAGAAGATTGCGAATACAATCGTTTTTGAATCAGGGCCCGTACTGTCAGGGGTGTTATAAGAGCTTTGAAGCAATGAGAATTTAGTACGGCGTGTCCGAGCCCGAGCTGAGTTCTTCTAAAAGTCTTTCTGAATGGGGCAAGATCCTATGAACCTGCTGAACAGGCTAGCCCGTTTAAATTTTGTATGGTGCTTCTGAGCAGGACAACCCATTGGGAAAACTCACTGGACCAGGCGTCCATATATATGATTCTCAATATCATGTTATTCTGAGCGGGGTATTGTACGGTCTAAGCTAACCTAGAGCATAGACCAAGTCATGTCGCTGTGATACGTGAAGAAAAATGCGCAAGATTATGATAGTATATATGACTCGCCAGTACTCTTCCGTCTCTCTTTCGGGGTTGACCACTTTTCTTATCCGGCCTTTTTACGGTCTCTCACATTTGTTAACTATTATTATTTTTCCTAGGAACCTACTTGATACGTGTTTAGGTCTTGTTGATACATGTTTGAGTCCTATTACGTACGTCTATTTTCAAATTTTGCTACCCATCACTTATTTCATGTAGGTACACTACTTGGCGATCAATTCGGATGGATAGAATAGAACGGAGTGAGCTCCACCGCTACTGCTGTTAGTCTAATGCTCCGAGACCGATCCGGCAGTTCCGGAAACTCTTCCCCCGGAAGACGATGCATCTTTCATCTCCTCGTAGACGGCCGGATATCATTCATTAATGCGTATATATATGATAACAAGCCGCATGTAAATAAATATATACGGCCGAATCGCGCGGAGTCGCATCCTTATAGAACGTGCGGATACCCTTATAACAGGGATAATTTGTGTCTACAAAGGCTATTATGACCCGAGAACCCATAAGATTCGAATTCGACTGTAAATACCCAACCGTCCGGAGCTACTAGTAAAGTCGTTTACTATATTGTTTACGTGAAAAGTGGTGAGTGTGCAAAGGATAGCGGGTCTTTGGTCTTGCCACCCTTTACCTTAACCACCTCCGGCCGGCTTCAAAAGCACGTGAGCAATATAATATGCGACATTGCTACTAGTAGTGTCGAACGACCGGACGGTAGCTAAGTAATGTATTTACCTATAACTAACCGGTTGGTTAGGAATAATTTTATCTGGTATATAATTTTATAAGCTAATTCAAATCTTTGACCATCCCCAAGGGGGGTGTTCACGGAAAATCAATTCGCTATTGAATCACATGCATGAAACCATATCAACGAGTGATACGTTGTGATTGAAACCACCACAAAGTGGCAGGCAGTATCACAAGACAATGTCGCACCGCAGCCTACATGGGGCACAGAAAAATCCTCTGCCTTTTTCTCGCTACCATTTAAGCCGTGATAACCACCATCATTATTAGGCTCATCTCTTTTCCATCTGCTCTACATACATGTACTTAGAGTATGGTTGCGGACACCTGTAACCGGAGGACATTTGACCTCAAGCTTTGGGGGCGATGGCTTTCCAACCACCACACCTAAAATTATTTTCTCTCTGTTAAATGATGCTTTAGCCTCTGCTCTACATAATGGCAGAGTCTAATTAATTTTATCGTTTATGGTTGTGGAATTATTGAATTTCTAAAAGTTGAGTTTTTGGTAAGGGACCAAACAAATGTCGCCCAAAGTTGCCTATTTCGGAAATAGTTTTAGAGCGTTATGCATTTTAATTACCTGATTAGGCAATTCTCCGACCACCTCTTAATATCATTGAAAGGTCTTGGCACGAAAGTGCAACAAAAGTGCCAGGTTATTACTTGATTGGGAAAGTGATAGCCAAAAAACACCAATGTCGTATATAGCTACTCCGAATATAGGTGTCCGCACACTCTATGCGCGCAGCGCGCTGTCATACAAAAAGCAAGAAAACTATTCCTCGATCCTCAATGGCCAGGTTTGACGCGGGTAGATACATGCAGAAGAGGGCTTGTTCTAAAAAAAGGGCCGAAGGGCCAAGCTTTTTTGGTAACTGCATACTTGTTTACCACGAAAAGAACCAGTTGCTCAGGGCAAGGATTATTTGTATGGAGTGGCGGTGATCTCTCATACAAACTATCCCTGTTTCCGTCACTTGCATTTTCTGGTTCTTTTCGTGATAAACGAGTACATGTGTTATTTTTGGAGTTTGCGGAAAAGTCAACGGGAAGCACACATAGCCTCAACGCCAGCTCGGAGAGCCGCATCAATGTGGTGATGAGCTTTTTGCTTTTTCTGTCTACGTGCATAAATATTCGTCGTGGAATACTACGGTGGGGGAAGATAGATAGATAGATAGACTTTTATATTGCTTTGAAGTACAAGACTTATCGCACGGGTGGGGGAAGAGGATGCATATGTAGGATAGAGGTTGCATACTGTGTTCCAGTGGTGAGTATGATCTTGGTGCTGGGGATAACTCAGTTTATTTAGCAGCTAGAGGGTGTAGAACCTAGCTAGTACTAGCTTAAATCCGCGAGAAGGTCAGATAGAGAGGAGCCAATATATGGATTTAGACATTTTCATTGTTTCATGTTGTATACGTACTCCATAATACTCACTTTACTTCCGCTGCAGAATCTGCACGATCCAAAATACGCCAGAAACCAATGTTTCTCCATATACAAACCAAATCAACGGTCATATCCGAAAAGAACACTTCGCATTACATAATTCACACCCAATAACCGTACCAGCGCGGGTGCACCAGCGCAGGTCATCCAAGAGGCAAATGTCGATAAAGGACAACACTATGACAGTTGGAGGAACAGGTACTTGGTCAGTTGAGGGAGCGGGTACGTATGTGGTCCATTCAGGTGGCCAGACGATACCTGTCTTTATTATGGATCAGTTAAATAGCTAAATAAACTCCATCCTTTGTAATAAATCACATTTAAGAAGACATCACAACAATGTATACATACCGTCGCAGCTCGATATCCCGGAACTCAATGCACCGGACCCCTTGCTGTCCCGTGCGGGATCCTCTGGGAATATTTTTTGTTTTCTACTGGAAAATCAGTTTACTATCCCGGATCCTTTGCTATCCCGTACGAAATCTCTAGAATATTGGAAACCTCAATAATCTCTAACCTGTCTCTAACGACCCTTACTCAGATGGTCAGTTTCCGTTGCCGAGTTTGTGACTGCGACTACTGACACATGGCTTGAGCTCGAAATAGAATTGTGCTCAACAGAAAAATTACAGCAAAGGAAGTTAAGTCGGTCAGTACAAAGCAAGGTGATGAAAAAGGGCTCTGGACGTTTTGGCCCGTGCCTTAGTTTCGTGGCTGAGCTTTTAAAACAGTTTCGATATCTCGTCATGTCAGTCAGTCAAATCAGATGACAGTCCCGATAAATTAACTTTATGCGAGAAGTACTAACGCGGCTATCTGAGTGTTTTTGCTGTTATAACAGAGGTACATATGTATCTCGTTAGATATCTGATGGACTTGTTATTCTGGTTTAGTCCGGGGGTTTCCATGCATGATGTGCTGCAGTCTAATCTCGCCCATAGGCTTGCGCTCGGCCCAGATCACTTCTATTGGAAGCCTAGATATACACGGTCACACCACGGGCCGGTACTGATCATAGCGTTACATATATATCCTCAATCTTCCCCGCCGCACGTCATAAAGTGCCAGCCAAACAAAGCACTTACCAAATCGTCCCGTTTGGCGCCGGTCGTGTGAACCCTAGGTCGAGCCTGCGGGCCCAGTGCAGGTATCGTTTCAGCACACATAGGAGTACGGAGATCTTGGGAGCCACCCACAGGGCTAGACTAAAATTGCTGGGTGGAGGTTTCTACCGAGATGAAGTGCCCAAAAAAAGGCAGAGGCGTCTATAGCTATACGTCCACACTTTGGCCCCCATTTGTGGGTTTGAAGCAAAATTTAAACCCGGCGCCATGTCTTCAAGGGATATAAGACCGCATGTACATACCAGGCCGAGGAGGCTCCTGACTTCAGACATGAGGACATCCGGTGGAGAGAGTGTTTTTAGTCT